CCCCCCCCCCCCCTCCAATATTATAACCTCCCCAATTTTCAGCTGCCATGGGAGGTGCTGCTGGTGCAGAAGCCATTTTCCCTGTCCAGTCTGGTCCCTGTCTGGCTCTCAACTCAAAATACTTTTGCATCGCATGCCTCGTGTCCATGCGTCTGTCTGAACAGTATGTGACTGTCTGTTTGCGAGATTGTGTGTATTGTAATGCATTTTTCTTGTTAATGTCTGCTGACATATCCTCGTTTGAATGTCTTTTTTTTAAGTGTTGTCTCCATCTGTTGTCTGCTTGTCTGTGGACTCGATTCAGTGCTAAAAAGATTCACTGTCTGCAGCATTGTCCTGTGCCCCTTTTGGAATGTGGCCTGGCTCAGCTATGCATGGCAGATGTCTTCTGTGTTAGCTTTGATATGAATGCAACAGGCATAAAATTGTCTTGAGGCATAGACGATAGCCCCCCCTTTTTCTTTTTCTTTTTTTTTTTTTTTAATTCCTTGCAATGACTGTGTCCTTGCATTGGTGAATACACCGTAGGTTCTTATGTGTGTTTCTGAACCGGTCTAACATCTCTTACCTCTTCGCTGCTGCAGGGCTGTTCCTCACCTTTGGTGGTGAAGTTTGCCGACACACAGAGAGATAAGGAGCAGCGGCGCCTGCAGCAGCAGCTAGTACAGCAGATCCAGCAGCTCAACAGCGCCTCCACCTGGGGAAACCTGGCTGGCCTGGGGACCCTCACACCGCAGTACCTGGCTGTAAGTGTTGACATGCTGCCCTGCTGAGCTGCACAAATAGTCATGCACTATCATATGGCACAGGTTTCGCGTCTAGTTAAGCCTTATGTTGACTTCTCATTGGACTAACGTATTATCAAGGTTAAAAAAAAAAAACAGAACTATCCAAAAATATAAAACACTTATTAGGCAACACATCAGACATGTAATATATACAATATTTGTGAGCTTTGTAGTAAATCTGTGCAGAGTCAGATGTAGTTGTGGTGGTGTACTGGTTGCTATATTGTGAGGTGTTTAGATTCATGTATGAACAGATCACACAAGGGATTTTTCTCAGAGGTGTGCTGCATTGAATCATTATCAAGTGATCCTCTTTTTTGTTTACTGTTCATAAACTGTGACATTAACTGGGAATTCATCACCCATTTAGTCTATATTATACACAACCAGGCCTGAAACCTTTAAAGAAATGTAATTAAACTGGCTTATTTCAGGCCCAACACCCAAACAGTGTAATGGAGCAGAATGCAAATAAAAAAAAAAAAAGCTATAATTTGAAATACCACAGAGAATTCAGACCTGAGCAATGAACTGATTTCTTTGGCTCAGAATAGGAACATCTTGTCTCACTCAGTTTGTGTTCTGGCTGAAGGACACAGGCATGTGACTCACATGTGCCTATTTTGAATTGGAGCCAGTAAACATGTGACTTAAACATGTTCATAACATGAGCAGCTGAGGTGTTTGTTTCTGGCAGGAAAACAGGGTGTGTTTGATTATTGCTTCCACTTTAAAAACTGATGAGTTGCTATGCCATCAATCCAAATATTACATACATTTTGAATAGGAGGAAATAGATGTCATGTTTGTGATTGCTACATCTGTCATTTTTTGATATTTTGTTAAACCAGACACTGTTTAAATATGAAAGCTCTGTACAAATCTCAGTTGTTGCTGCACTAAATGATTATCACCAATAAACTCACTTTCTCAATGATCAGATAAACAGAGGAACATTATATATTCGAATGTGCTAAAGTCAAGATTGTAATATCCATTTTTTGTCTTTTCCCTGATACACATCTTTTGTATAATGGCAACTCAGACTCGTCAGTCTTGTTCTGAAATTCAGTGGAAAAAACAATTCAATTATACTGGTAATCAAGACCTAATTGTGCATTCCCGGATTGATTACTGATTTCAGTCTTTCTCTTCTTTGTCAACAGCTGCTCCAGCAGGCCACATCTACCAGTAACCAAGGCAATTTCAACGGTATTCAGAGGCTAGGAGGTGAGTTCATCCTTTCAGATGTCGAGACCACTGTTCTTAAGCTATCCCCTCTACGTGAACAAGCCGGATATTTTCATGTCACCAACTTTGTGACTCAGTGCTCTACGCCCACATGGTTTTAAGTACTGTAAATCACATTACTCTTTCAGATCAGTGGCACATTAATAATCAGTGCTGCTATTCCAAGTCTGGGTAGGCCCGTTTAAAGATAAACACTCGGCACATTAATTTAATTTCACTTGGCAAATTAAAAAGCAATAGATCTGTGAAGAATAAAGTTCCCTGTTTAAAGCACACACCATGCTGCTTTATCACTATAATGGGGCTGGTTTGGTATGTTGAGGTGTAATTTCATGTCTAACCCTAAAACTAATACTGTATTGTTTGATTGGGATTGATAAAGTTTTATTTCTAGTACAACTCTTCCCTGTGATTGCAAAGGAACTTTGATAGAGAAGGCTGAGAGAAGGACTGTTTTTAATTGACGACACAGCCATAGAAGCACATCCCATCTTCAACTGTAAAGATATATTCTGCAGTTGGTTCCTTCAAGGCTATTTGGAAAGGTGTTTCTCTGCAAAAACATGAACACAAATGTGTAAGTCTTTGATAATCACCTCTGTTTTTGTGTTCTCTCTGTAGGTGTGAATCCCCTTCAGCTGCAGAACTTGGCCACATTAGCTGCTGCTGCGGCTGCAGCTCAGAGTTCTGGCAGCCCCACTTCCACCAATGCCCTGTCTACAAACAGTGGAGCCCTGGGAGCTCTGGCCAGTCCAGGTAATTGAACACTAACATATGCTGAATTTGTAGTGTGTGTGCTGTACATAGAGTATTAAACACCCAAGAATCAAACCCTGTTGATGATCGGTTGTTTTAGTTCAGTTAGATTAGTGTATGCATCCGTTTTGCTCGCTGAGTTTTTGACCTTGTTTGTAATTGGTAAATAACCTGTGTCTATTTTCCTGGTTTTTAACTTCACATTTAAATATAATTCTAAACAAAAAATCCTCACCCGTTGAAGTATAAATATCCAGTGAGTCAGTGCTCCTGCTGCTGTGATGGTTCCTACCAACTGCTCTGCAAACGTCCCTCATCCGCCATTTGCGGTCGTCAGCCATTCTTCATTGATTTTATGGAAGTTAATCACCAACATATAAAATTTTATGAGACCCCCAATTTCCCTTTTAGTCTGTGTAAATATACATTGGCTCCATCTGAGTTTAGCATATTGCAGCTGTGATAATGACCTCTCCTTGTTAAGAGACAGATTTTTAACTGCCCCCTCATTGCTGTTATCCCCTCATAACCATAACAATTTGTGGCAAAGATGGCAGACATCTAAAGTGATATGAGGTGTTTTGAACATGAGCACGTCAGTCCTGTGGTAACGCATATTTCGTATATTTATTTATTGGTTGGTTGATTGATTGATTGTCTCTCAACAGCTGGTTCAACAGCAGGGTCCAGTGCCGGTGCTGCCATGAACACCTTGGCTTCTCTGGGCACCCTGCAGGGTCTCACTGGGACCTCTATGGGCCTCAACAACCTTAACGCTCTCACCAGCAGCGTCAGTGGTGAGAATCTCCTTTCTACTAGCTTGATTTGAAAACTACAAAATGGCACCTGAACATTGGTGCTAACTGTAAAGCTACAGTAAGTAAGATTAAGAGCAAGATTTCTGTCTCTGCTGGATGTGTAAGTAGTAACTGATAAACCATCACATACAGTCCTTCCTGGCCTTTCAGTTTCTCACTGCCCTCACCAGCAGCCCTTTGCATTGTTTTAACACAAGGCTGCTGTTGGTCTGAATACCCAGTGACATGTTAAGCTTGGGACAAACCTGAGAACTACTTGTAACCTAACCAGACTGGACAAACGACACATTAAGATTTTTTCCACCTACAACTGACATCAACCTTAAACTGAGTGAATGAAACGAGACGACTGGAGCTCTGGTGGTAGATAACCTCAGAATCTGTGAGAACACAGTTGTTGCATGTTCTGGGACCTAAACGAAAATGGAGGGGAACCAGCAGCTGTTTATACGGAGTGCAGTTTGTGCTGCAACGTTTAAAAAAGGAAAAAAAAAAAACTTTAGGTTTGGGTGAGATCCTCTGTTTCACTTGTCAAGTGCACTTTTACACCATAAACCTTTTTGGTTGCTATTCTGCCTCTTCTTTTTGTTTATTTGCCAGTAATCCTCTTCAGGTGACACACAAGTGACATCCATCGTCACAGATGTCAGTCACAAATATTAAACAAAAAAAAGAAATCTAAATCAGAACGACTGGCAGAGACTGAAGGTTATAATCTTTACATACCACACACTGTTTGTTTGTCTGCCGCCTGAACACTAACTCATCCAGATTGGAACTGACCCGGTGAAACTTGGCCAGATCAGTTGTCAAGGCTTAACAATACTCATCATCAGCCCAACAGTCATTAGGGTGTGTCCCCACCTTAAATCTTAACAACATGACAATCCAAGGGCTAATCTGAGTTTGTCTTTCTGCCACCTAGTGGTCAAAATCATCTACTGCAGTTTAAGTACTTGCCACAGACATTTTACAACTTGCTCAAAATGTTTAAGTTATGTGTGTGAGTGTCTATAAAGCATCAGTTTGATTGTGTTTTACAGGTATGGGGGCCATGAATGGAGGTCTGGGAGCCTCCATGGCTAATGGGTCAGCAGCCAGCTCCATGGACGCTCTGACCCAGGCCTACTCAGGGATGCAGCAGTACACAGCCTCCGCCCTGCCCTCCCTCTACGGCCAGTCTCTCCTGCAGCAAAGCATTGCTGGCAGCCAGAAAGAAGGTGAGCAGATCCTCAGCACGCACCAACACACTCGCATGTTAATTCTCCCTTTGTTTCAGTCTGTTTTCATCATTCCACGAACATATTTTTTTTTAAATTCTGTCTAACTTGAGTGTCTGATTTTCTTACCAAATGGAGTAGGGCCAGAGGGCGCCAACCTGTTCATCTACCACCTGCCACAGGAGTTTGGGGATCAAGATCTTCTGCAGATGTTCATGCCTTTTGGAAATGTGGTCTCTGCCAAAGTCTTCATTGACAAACAGACCAATCTGAGCAAGTGCTTTGGTAAGTGTGTCGGCGCTGCTGGTCTCTGAGTGCTCATTATAAGTCATATACCATATTAGGTTGTCATGGTGCCACTATAAATTTTTGGGATTTTTACTGGCCTCCATTTTGAATAATGCTGAGGCAGTATTGATGTAGTGCAAAGAAGAGCTGTGCACATGTTTTTCTTTGCAGCATTTCTTAATGGCAGATGAAGTAGTAGTGTATACAAAGTGTGACAGTCACACAGCACTGCTAATGTAATTTAATGTAAAAAAGATCCCCTCCAGACATGTTTTACATTGTACACAAATACTGTGCTGTGTGTCTAATATGGTTTTTCCATAAAGTAAAATAATTGGTTTAATATTCTTAAAATCACATCTACTCCTCCCGAATTAAAAAATCCAGAATATATGAATATGCGTGTGAGCACTGCAGATTTCAAGTTTCCACATTACACTTGTTTAAACTGCTGGTTGGACCACAGCTGGCCTCCAAACTAGTTATGTGACCGAAAAAAGCCTGTGTGGCCATGTGTTAAATTTAGATTAAAGGTGAGCACAGTGAAACTTTCCCTTTCATCTGAAAACAGTAAAAACTCTGTTTTCAAACCAAATCAAAGGTCTTTTGTCTTCATTAACATGCTCAGTTTGAGGCATTTCATAACAGTGCTAAACAAACAATTTAATCTTTACATTACATTCATTTGTTTAATCTTTTCAATGAAGCTTTGATGCGTTAAAGTATACCACTCATTGAGTACTGCTCAAGTGTTATGTAAAGACGGGCATGTTGACAGAATTGATTGTGTCGACACGACACAGAAATACTGTTTATATGGCTTATTATCTTGGTGTCTGTACTTTAACTGACTGGTGATTCATTTATTGTTTTCATTGCTGTTTTAAATAAGTAATATTTATTTTTTTGAATGCATTTAATGTAAATTCAGTGGAACATTTCAACTGATCTGAACAAATAACACATAACATAACACATAAGAGAAACTGTAACGACTGAATCTTTGGTATTATTACTTCATGAATGACATAACTAGCCATCCCTTGTGCTGTTTGTCTTTTCTTATCATTGATCTTGTCATGAGACTTACACAGACCAGGAGCTCCTTGTCTTGAATTTGGCACTGTGTAACAGAAATTATGCAACACAAAATGATGCTGAAATGTTGTTAAAGAGCAACTTAACACAAACCCAATTTTCAGTTGTCTATTGGTTTCTGGTCCCAAGCTATAGTGTTCATTGCAATGGTGGTTTGCTTCGTATTTCCAGAGGAAATCTATTAATTTTGTTACATTGTGTTGTACACCACACCGTTAAGGTAACATCACCATAACTTGAGTCTGGGCACTGCCCGGTTATGGAGACACATAAAACAGAAATCAATGGGGTGAAGAGCTCTGACCATTTGTGGCGGTCAGACAGAAAAAACAAAGTTCAGGTACCACATATTGTCTCTGGTGGTTATCCAGACTTCATAAAACAGTAGTTTCATGCATGGCTTTGTTTATTTAATCTTAGCATTAAGTTCTTTACATGTATGTAACATATGTCCTCTACCTTGTTGTTGTCAGGGTTCGTCAGCTATGACAATCCTGTGTCTGCGCAAGCTGCCATCCAGGCCATGAACGGTTTCCAGATTGGAATGAAGAGGCTGAAGGTTCAGCTGAAGCGTTCCAAGAACGACAGCAAACCCTACTGATCCTAGCCCCGGGGCCTTCCCCCCTTCCCAGCTCTAATGCTAGCACTGCTAGGGTAAGTTCACCCTCCAGCCAAGGTCACCACAGCAGAGACTCAGTGGGGCAGGGGGAAAGGAGCCCACCACAGGAGGGAGACTTACCCTATTCCTAAAAGATGGTTGCGATGTTCGTTCCACATTTTACTGTATTTCATTCCTGCGGTTTTCTCATGTAATTTGAGTCGGATTAAATATTTTAATGTATATGATTATTTATGACTATCACTGGAGTCAGTGTTCGCTGGAGGTATTTTGTGTCACTGTATTTAGTGGAGAGCATCAGGTGTGTTTCCATGCCATTTCATTGCCTTCAGGTCAAGTTAGACAGGTTGACTAAGGATCAGTTGTTGTGTTGAAGGGCAGAAGCCAGACCACGTAGACCCCCGAGCCCAGAGCTTCAACTTGTTTGGCTTTTTACGTGTAGTCTGTCTCGTTTGTCATTCTTAATGTGAAAATCCTTTGCACTCTAAATTTTTCAATCTTCGTTCCCCCTATCTGTCTCTCACTCTTTCTCCCCCCTCTCTGTCGTATCATTATCTAAGCCATGTTGAGCTAGGCTACCTCTCTCTTTCTCTATTAACAACCTCTTCCAGTCATTCCATCCATCCTCCAAGTCTCCCACAAGGGACTGGCTCTAGATGGATCTCTTTGGGTGCCAAGTATACAGTTTGTGCATGTTGGAGTCTCTGCCATATGTCCTGGTGGTGTCACTTCCTTAAATCTGTGCATTGTTTTTGTGTGTCGGGAGAGATGGGGGGGGAAATGTTTACCGCACTGTCCTTACTGTATGTGGTGATTGGCATTGTTTTTGTTGGTTTTTGTGCCTCATGGCTAAACGATTCTTGTGCTGTGCCCCTAACTTTCTCTTCTCTCCTCTTTGTCTCCTCTCTCTCTCTTCCTTTCGTGTTTTTGTTCCTTTTTTAGAACAAATCTCCATGCCTGTTTGCTCATCATTAGCCTAGCATGTCTTCATGATGTTGAAAGCCAAGCCAAACTCCTGGCCTCATCATCCCACCATTGTCTGTGATGTCTCTCTAAGCTCGCCTGACCAATACCTGGCCACCCACTGACCCTTGACCTTAGCTCAACCTGATTTTTCTGCATGTATATTAATTTTTGTTTTTGTTTTTTCTGTATAGAAATGTGACAGGTGGGAGAGAGGTCAAGCAAATCAATGTGAAAACTTACTTACGTTGAATTCATTTAAGAGACCTTTTTTGTTTTTGCGAATGTTTTAAAAAAAGAAAAACAAAAAAACCTGTGGGATTTCTTATTTTTAATTTAGTTTTTTGTTTTTTATGTTGCTTTCTTTTTACCTCTCTCAGTAAAGTTCACTTGAAAGTTGAATACAGGGATTGGCACACAGCTGTGCTATTTGGTGCCATTAGCAATATGTTGGCTTCTTAAAAAAACCATGCTTCAGACCACTTTCCAACACTTTTGAAAGTCTGACCAGTAAACCCCCTCTCAGTGCTCTGTAATGATCTCTACATTTTGCGGGCAGTGTGAAGATTTACACCAAGGCTATTTAAAAATATATTTTGTTTTAATTTACAAAAATATCCAGTGTATTTGCCTTTTTTTTTTTTCTTTTTTTTTGAACTATTGATGGCACAATAAAAGGTACATTTGCTCTGTTTAGAGAAATGACTACCTACATGAGTCAACTTTTTTAGAACTGATTCACAAATAGACAATCTGTGGTTTAAATGCACACTTAGATTACCTATATTTTATACCATTGAATCTATAGAAGTTTAACTAACAGAACCCAGGCAAAACGATGGGTTTTTTGTAGATTATGTTGTAATGTCATCTTGTCGGGGGGGCGGGAGGGGAGGGGGGGGCGGGGGGTCTTCGGTGTATTACATTTTTAAAGAGGACTAAAATCACTTTGATCAGTGTGACCATTTGAGGGTCATTTCTAGTAGATTAAAAACACTTTAAGTCAAAAATTCCTCTGCATTAATTGTAATTTCAACTTCTAGGGAAAAAAAGTACTTTTTTTAAGGGTCACATTTTGAGTATCAAGGCTAATTTTTTTTCTTTTTTCTTTTTTTTCTTTTTTTTTTTTCTTTAAGAAAAATTTAGTGTTCAATTTCCACGGTACGTCTTGTTGACTTTCTGTGAATTTCTCATTAATAATTTAATTAATGGATGTTTCACTTTGGTTTAGTTTGGATGCCTCATATTGAAAGATGATGATTTACAATGTCTGTTAATCATACAGATGCCAGACAATGTTTTTGTTTTATTTTGTTGTTAAAGTGCCCATGTGTCAAACTCAGTGTTTTTGAATTCACACAACACTCTTTCCTGTAATATTACCTAGTTTTCTTTTTATATATATATATATATACACACACACACACACACACACACACACACACACACACACACACACACACACACACACACACACACAGCGACACAACACTTTCTGTGATTGCAAATGTGGGAGCCCCTGAAGAAGAGATCACTCGGACAGAACACACGACCTGTGGGTCTCTGCACGTTTTATAGACACACACACACACTTGCTTTTTATTTTTGTGTTTTGCTGATTGTTCTTTTAAGTGACTTCCAGTATCATGTTTCAGTCGGACACGATGCACGGCACATTAATACCAAGTCCACCACAATAGTGTTGGTTTACAAATACATTCCATTTTTTCAGCACAAAGTTTACACTTTTTTTTATCGGGGTGGTATTTTGTCTGTTGTACTACAAGTTGTCGATACAACCCTGGTAAAATAACAACCACTTCACCCCCCCTCCCCCCCAAAGAAGGGTTCCCTAAAACTGCGTACCTGATGGCGCTAAAGAGTTGTCAACTCAGGGGTTTTTTTGTGTGTGAAAGTAGACACTCACACAGGATTACGACACAAATGCACAATTGTCACCATTTGACCTTTTTGGTTTGGATTTTTTTCGTTTCTCAAAATACATAAATATTCCAAAAAAAAAAAAAAGTAAAAGAGAGGTACCAAATTTGAAACAGTGCTGGAGGAAAGTGTAGTTTTGTAAGGAAACGTTAAGCACAATTGTGGGAGCTAATCACTTTTGCAGAATGTTGTGTGTGATTATAATCCCAAAATTTTCAAGGTACCACTGATTTCACTTTTTAATATGGGCATGTGCTTTTTACAGTGTGTTTTTTCTATCCAAATGCAATACAATATTCAAAGTGCCATATATACGTCTAGAAACTGCCTACACATCCTTATTAGGCCTTGGTTTAGAGATTGCTGCAGTTCGCCTTTTTTGTCTATTTATGCCAGTGTCATGAAAGCTCTTGTCACCTGCTCATGTCCCCTTCTCCTCCCCCCGCTCTGTGTGTTGAGTTATTGGTTATTGGAGTTATGTGTATTGTGATGTACTCAATTTGAACAGTTGGTTAAAAAATTGTAGATAAACAATAAACTTCCCTATACATTTGAAGGATAACCTCTTTCTTAGTGAGTGTGAACACATGTATTGTAACACTTTGCGACTTTGCGATACAAATAATTGGTGATCATATGTGTTAGGGAATTTTTGAGTTTAATAAAATCCAAAACAAGCTAAAACTCAAGAAAGGAAAGAAAAAAAAAAAAAAGGACTTGGGAGCCATGCTAATAAGATCTTTAAGTGATAAAGTCGTGTGTCAAACACTGAAATGATTGCAGGACTGTTGCGACATGCAGTGTATGTTGAAGTGTTACTGTGAATGAATTTCAAAAAAAGAAAAAAAAGAAAAAAAAAAGCACAATGTACAGTCCACAGCGGTCCCAACAAGAACTTGACTCACTTCAGGGGCTTCCATCACAAATACCGTTCAAGCTCTAACAATCACTTTCTTTCTTCTGTTGTTTTCATATTCTGAAGTGCTATTTTTTGACAGTGTGGTAGCTTTGCATCTCTATAGATATTATCCTGATCCAAAAGAAGAGAGAGAAAAAAAATCTTGTGTTATTTTCTTGTCTGATAATCGGTAGGACTCTGTTCATGTTCCACCAATAATTTAATAGATGTTTTGTCTTGTCTTGATGAAAGCCAAAGTGGGTGCATCTTGATGTGATCTGTATTATACATACAGTAGTTTTTTTTTCTTTTATTTTTCTGTTCAGTCAATATCAATTTTTTTGAAACTGGGTGGGATTTGAAAAAGAAAAAAAAATGACATACACAGGCTTTCCAATTTCTACAACTGGTTGTTCATATGTATTTTGTACCAGTGAAGCTTTTTATATTGGAAATTAAAGAAAAAAAATCTATATTGGAAAAAAAATTGTCTGGCCTCTCAATGTGGCCTCGCCTTGACTAGGTCTCGAGTTTGGCCTCTTGGTGGTGTCAAGCAATTTTTTTTTTTTTTTTTTTTTTTTTTTGTCTCTAAAAGATGCCTGATTTTGATTTTACTTGGATCTCTACATGTTCCTCACTTCGTTAATCGGTTTCAGTTTCGGGGGGGTTGGGATCCTCTAAATCGTGGTAAGTTTCATGTTAGTATTTGTGCTGTCCACATAGTTTAATGGTCATCAGGATTTCAGCAACTTGTGTGGATAATTGTCTTAGTTAAAGAGTTAACTATCTGTTTAGTTTGAGCCTTGCTTTTTACCTGTGTAGAGTTTTCTGTTTTTTCCCATAGCGGAGTGTGTAGCCGAAAGACTCTGTGTTCTTTTTTGGTCAATGTTTGTTCATGTGTGGTGTGTTTCTTTGCCTCTGTCTCCAAATTAAACCATTTCCCCTAATATGGACTGTGTGTCTTTGTGTGTCTTTGTGCTTGTCCAGTGTTGTAAAGGCATTTTACAAACCACCCCTCCCTCCCCCAGTGTGTCATGTCTCGCTAACTTGTTTCTATTCGTTGTGCTTCTCTTTGCTTCTTTCTGAGCAGGAACAGATTTGGGGGGAGGGGGGTGATTATTAGAGATGATTATTTTGGGTTTCAATTATGAAAAGCTATCATCTTAAACATTTGAGAAGCTGCATCTCACGGCATTTTCTAGATAAATTAACATTTATGTGAAAACAAAACCAAAATTTTATCAATGCAAAGTTGAATTAATGGCTGTAAATGCCTTGACTAGTGGTGAAGTGATTATGATCAAATGGAGGGTCGACAGAAGAAGAATCAACAATTTCAATTTTTGCTTTTAGTTTAAAACCATAAATCAGTCATCAGAAATGAATCAGTAATTGTTGTGATTTGCAATTTAACATCAGTTCTCAAGCAAAAACACCAACAAGTCCCTAGTTCCAGCTTCTCAATGCAAGGGTTTGATGCTATTCTTCCATAAGATGAAACCAAATACTTTTAGTTTTTGATACATTTTGGACAAAACGAGTAACTTGGGTATGTTTACTTGGGGAAATTGAATTGAACTTATTACATTTTTTTTTCTTACATTACATAAACCTAATGATTAATCAATTATGCAAATTATCATTTGATCCAACACTGAATGTTTCATGTTGTGAGAATTTGCTTCTCTATATTCTATGTCATTGTTGATATATGTTTGATATGTTTGGATTTTGGACCAAACAATCTGCAGATGTCATGTGGAGCTCTGGGAAACTGTAATGGGTGCTTTTCACCATTCTCTGCCATTCTACGAACTAAATGACAAACAAATGATCATCAGATTAACTGATAATCTAAAAAGTTGCAGCCCAACTTCATAGAAAAGCTCTTCAACCAAAGAGTAATCCCAGAGAATCGCCAGTGTTCTCCCAACTTCTGCTGGCTGACAGCACAGACTTAACGGGGGTTGCTGTACATTCAAGGAGAGAATAGTTAATGTGAAAGATCTGAGATCAGAGAATTGACTTTATCTATTATGCACCAAACTGTCATTGTTAAAGAGGACACAGAGTCTGCGACTCTGAGACTCAGATCCTTTTTTCACCTTTTTTTTTTTTTTTACTTCATCCGTCTGCAACATCTTACCTTCCATGAGTCATAAGGTGAAAGTGTTCAGGTAGGTTATTCACCTGCCTCAGCTACTTCAGACGGGACCATCTGTTAGTAGGGAAAATGACAACTCTACCAGTATAGAAACGGCAGTATAACAGCACAAAGAGTGATGTGTTTCTGATAGCACAAAGAGAGCCTCAGCTCACCCTTTAACCAAGACACAACATGTTCCGCAGCATTGCAACACAGTCTGCAGATGGTGGTGTGGGAGGAGAAGCTGGCAGCTCTGCTTCCTTCTACTATACAGTCGTTAAACATCTGCACACATTACAGTTTGAAGCTGAACAAAATGGGTCCAGAAGTGGCAGTGAAGCCAGGATGTGACACACATTTTTAATAAATGGAGAGAAGCTGAAGTTGTGTCCATGTTCTCAGTTCTGAAAACACAGTGGGATGTGATTATTCCCTGTGCTAATTTACTTGTACGTATGCGGCAGGCTGGGGTCATCTCACTGATTAGGATTATTAAATGTGTTCCTTTTATATGAAGCCTACCTTGCACGAGGTGTCACCTTGCTTGTTAATTTGATGTAATGCTGAAACAGGGTTTTTGGGTCAGGAATAATGCAGAGACACATTATTCAGAAGTGTGTGAACCAAGGACATTTGTGACAGAAAATGTGACACCAAATGTTTGATTTCATCATTATTCCGATAATAATATACTTTAGAGGGTAAATCTGCAGTGGTGCACAACTCTGTACTCTGAAGACAGTTTGAAAAAGTTTACCTGAAGATTTTCTTCCTCCAAATTAAGACATAAAATAACTTCTGAAAGACTTACTGAAGCGTTTACTGCTTCCTTCGACTTGGAAATACTGTTAAATACTTACACCCAGTGGTGGAGAAGCGTCCAGGATCCTATAGCAGAAACACAATGTTTCAGTCTACTATGCAGCTTTGTGGAAGCAATAAAAGATACCAGGGTATTACATTTTGGTTAAACATTTGGGTAAAAATTTATTACACAATATTTCTGTACAACTGTCACAAGGAAACTATACAGTTCATACAATATGGATATACCTCTGTAGTACAATGAAGTGACCATAAAGAGGACGAGAAGAAGAGAATCATAATTTCCTCTAATAAGAAAATATTAAAAGTCATCTAAGTTGAATCAGTTGTCCTTCCCCTGTTAAAAGGGCTGAGTTTGTTCTGTTTTAAACAACTGGCCTACTGCACATCTGAACTCCCGGTACTGGCTGAAATTTAAAAAAGGAACATTGAGAACTTTTTCCCATTACAATTACAATATTTCACCGGTGGTGAATGATAATATTATATCTCCTGTTAATAAATCATGTTGTGAAGCATTGTTACCTCCGCCAAGGAGGATATGTGTTCAGCTGTGTCTGTTTGTTTGTCACCAGGATTACACAAAAATGTACTGATTTACACCAGGATTGGTGGAGGACATGGGCCAGGGAAGAACTCATTAAATTTTGGGGCACATCTGGATTTACTATGAATTAGAATTTTTTCTCTGAAGTCTGGAGTATGTTGTTTGGCCGTGGTGGAGGTCTGCACCCTCTGAGCGCCCTGCTAGGTATTGATTTATCTAAAGTTTCAGAGCACTGAGTTATGAACAAGCAGCAGCCCACAAGTAAGTCAGTGCTGCAGGGTATTAAAATGTTGATTTGTATCATCATGCACTGCTCAGCTTGTAGTTATTGAGGCATTTACACATCTGCACAAAACACTGAGGCGAAGGTCTCAGCTGTGTGAACTCAGGCTCTCCTTAAATGCTGACAAAACAAAGTTGATGCTGTTCTCAGGAAACAGGACAAAGCTGCTCTTCCATCACAGGCAAAGTGTCGCAGCACAAAGCAAATTAGTTATGACTGTTTCCTCCTTTATAAACTTGGTGATTTTAACAGATCAAAGCTGAACTTCCAAGGGGCCCCGGGTTTACTCTATCTCTGTCTACATAATTTGATTAATCGCAAATTTGGAATATCGGATACAACAGCTCCTCCGTCTGCCATCTTCTCATCGTCTTAAAATCTGGTTTTAATGCTTGAAATGTTTTAGTTGATATGGAGCTCCTTTGTTTTATCAAATGGTTTTAATTTTATCCTGTGTGTCAAGTGATTAACACTTAAAACATTACTTAAACAATTAATCCATTCATAAAACTGTTGCCATGTCAGCTCTCCAGCACCAGTTGTTGTCTGGGTTTCTGAGTAAATTATGAAACTGACTGGTATAATGAGGGTCAATAGGGTCCTAACAGCAAACCTTTGCACCAGGGCCCCTTAGGAGGTTAATCTGGCCATTAAACAGATGAATGTCTTCATTTTAGTATTATAATAAAATAGTATAGTATGTAATAAAATAAACAAAATAAAATTATAATAACAGCATAATATATACATACAATAAATGCAAGTATAATAATATTCTGTATATTGTGCAATTATACTCCAAATATTGCAAGAGCCAGTCCTCAGTATGATATTAAATATAACCATGGTCATATGCTCACAGCTATTTGGGGCATAGCTCGTACAAATAGGCTACTCACAACTCTCTTAAAAATGCGAAGAGAAAGGGAAAAGACATTTAATTATGACCCAATAGCTAAAGCATTATTTGAGAGTCACAGCTATAATCAACAGTGCATTCACCCCTTGCACTCAGAAAGGACACATCAAATAAAAGTGAGGGAGGAATCAGCACTTTATCTTATTAACTTTGATGCGATGAGTGAATATGACAGTATGTCTATTCTCTTTAATTGTCTGAAATGCTCCGCTTAAAAACACATTGATCAAGAGCAGGAAAGAGTACAAATGTCCAAATGAAGCGTATCAAGAATGTGACTGAATCTGATATCTAAACGTGTCATCACTGATTAACCCGACAAAGAATATAGCACCGGTGTCAAGCCGTATTTTGCCCGTGGATGTACTATAAGGTACATAATTCATCCATGACTTTGCCTTAGAAAACAGTACAATGTCCAGTGGCTTTAAACCTGCGCGTTCCCGCGACGGGCACGCAGTTCTCGGCAGGCAGGCAGATCTCGTTATAACACCGGAACACTGGTCTGGACCTTTGACATGCATTATATGGTCTCAACTCCTAGTTGCAGCGCCCCTAGTGGTAGGGACCAGTGCTGGTGTCCATGGGTCCATGGTCCGTGGAAAGCAGGGTTGCCAGGTCCGCGGTTTTCCCGTGGAATTGGGCTGTTTTTGAAATGCTGCGGATCGATAGTTAGTTAGACCTATTTCTCATGTAAACCACATTAATAATATCTCTAAATAAAAATACATATTTAAATGAAATTATCTGTTTGTATCTGAATCGTATTTCGAGACATTTGAGTTGTGGTACTGAACTGGTTTTTGGACTGGTTTTGATTGGCCGTTGGGCGGGTGTGCTGGTTTTGTCACGCAGACCTGGCAGCCAATGTGAACGAGCGCAGGTACTTCAGCCAAGGGCTCCCGATGCGACCCCTCCTCTCACGACGTCTCTCTCCCTGCAGTATGGCCGCCGACTTGTAGCTGCGAGTTAGCTGCCGTCACAAACATTAGACCAGAGCTGTACACTTTAAAACATGTCGGCTGTACTTTTCCTGAGGAGGTCGCTCAGCAGACTGCCTCCGGGTGTCGCCCGGCAGGTCGTTGGCTGCTGTTACCACACCGAGAAGGGAGTTTACGGATACCGACCCAAACAGACCGACAGAGACCACAAGTTGCAGAGCGACCGCATCGCTGCACTAAATCAAGGTCAGTATGGGGTTAATTTACGACACTGACAACTTAACATCACCAAAGAAGAAGAGGAAGAGTCTGTGTTGTGTTAAAATAATGGTACTGAATAAGAAACGTGCTTTAATCCTTGTTTGTAAAGTTATTTTTTACTTAAGTGTTCGTTGTATACTTGTGAAAAATAGCTAATTTCCATTGAAATGTGTCATTGTTGATTCAGAGGGAGCTGTTGTTGTTTGACCCCGTCACTGACACTGACGGTATAATGTGTTTTGCAACAGTTCATCCTGACAGCGGCCTGTTGTTTTGCTTTGTGCTCAGATCATGGTCTTGCCCGTCTGGTGGAGGCGTACAGAGCACATGGACACAAGGCTGCTAAAATTAACCCCTTACTACCCCAACAGCCTGTTGCTGACAGTGTCCCGGAGATAAGCATGCTGATTGGCACCATGGGAGCACAACTCAACACCTCAGGTAAATGACAGCTGTGCATGGAAACCTACAGTAAACATAGGTCAGAAGTTAGGATCATAACCATGTGTTTTTCTCTCGAAATCATGTTTCTTATACATGGAACATTATGTAACCAGCACTCATGGATGCATTACTGAAGGGCACAGAGCACAGGCCCCAAGAGTCAGGGGGCTCAGGGGCCAGAGCCTCTGTATGAAGTGACACTTAATATTTTTTGTTGGAAAGTCAATTGAATTTCTACAAAGAGACATAAAACAACCATAAGGAGACATAAAACAACTACAAAGAAATACAGAACAATTATGAAGAGATGCAAAACGGAAACAAAGATGTACAAAACAGACACAAAATGACCTCAACAAGATAAGAAATGACTACAATAAGATGCTAAATGACCATCGAGAATTGCAGAATAACAACCCATGACATAATTGAGTTGTTTTATGTGTGTCTGATAATCTGAGGGTTCTGGTTGTCCGTCATATTGTGTCTTTTTCAGTCTGGGTGTCTTTCTCCTGTGAGGGAGGGGTGTTGGACCCTTTACAAGTCTGTGCTCAGGGGCCCAGTGTCTCATAATCTGTCTATGCCTTTACTTGATAAAGGGATTTTACTTTGCAACTGAAGAGTCATTCTTTTTCAGGTTTTCAGATGCACTGCAGGATAAACTGATGATGAATTGACAGTGGTGAAAGTCCTATTTACATACTTGAATTAAGTAAAAGTAGCAGCACAAATAAACCTGCTGTTTTTTTAAATAAAGGTAAAATGGGTGACAGCGTACCTTTTTATAAATGCATAGTGGTGCTACAGAGATGCCCCGGCCTATAAATCCTATTCTGCAGATGTAAAGGAACGTGCTTGTTTGGTACAGACCCCAGCAAAAATCACATCATCATTTTTATATTTTCTTCAGCAAAAATTACCACTCCTACTAAAATCATGGCTCATATCACAATCGCAATATCTGTGAAAATAGTTTCAGTATGATTTTTTTTTTTTTTGCATATCGTTCAGCCTGTACTCCATTACAAGTAAAGACAGGTATGTAAAAGTATGTAAGTGTAATCAGCTAAATGTATTTAAAGTATCAGAAGTAAATTAACTCAATATGCAGAAAAGTGGCTCCTGTGAGTTTTATATTAGTAAGTAGCATTTTACTGTGATAATTGTTCAACGCAGAGCTAATTTGAACTATTTTATAGTCTTATGTATTTTAAAACTTGGGTAAATTTTATACATTTGGGAGAGACAATCGTCCTCCACCCAACTCCCGGATCTGCAGAGACTTCTGTTTGGAAAAACTTGATTTGCTTTTTCATCACTCCAAAACAGAAATCTAAACAAACTTGCACTCAGCTATGCTGCTGGAGGGAATGTGGAGAGATCCTGGTCGACCATGCTCTGTGGTTTTTGGTCTATTCAGTGTTTCTGGAAGAAAGTAGCAATCATCTCACACATTGTTTGGACATATCCCTGACGGGCTAAGTAAGGATGATACCTAACTCCTGAAGATATTGTTGTTTCAGAGAAACCGAAACATGTCTTTCTGTAGGTCTACGGCACTTTGGAAAAGCGGAGGCTTCAGTGGAGGAGGTTCAGGCCTACTTGGAAGAAGCCTACTGTGGTCACCTGTCAGTGGAGACCAGCCAGCTGAGCAGCCTGGAGGAGAGGGAGTGGTTCGCTGATCATTTTGAGGAGCTGAAGAGGAAAAGTTTCTCCACTGAGGAGAGGAGGCAGCTGGCCAAGATCATGCTGGAGTCTCAGGTAAGTGCAAGGAGAAGGACGGGAGTAAAAACCCACATACAATGTGACAAAATGTACCGTATCATTTGTCACATCTTATCACATTTCCTATGGTATTGTCCTGTATTTTAATGCATCTGTTTCTTCTCTTACAACCTGTAGGAATTTGACCACTTCCTGGCCACCAAGTTTGCTACTGTGAAACGTTACGGAGGAGAGGGAGCAGAGAGCATGATGGGCTTTTTCTACGAGCTTTTCCACCAGTCGGCCCACAGCGGAGTCACTGACATTGTCATTGGCATGCCCCACAGAGGCCGACTGAACCTGCTGACAGGCCTGCTGAAGTTCCCACCAGAGGTTAGACAGCCCTACACAGCCACATATTTACTTTCATCCATGACCTGACGCACACATAAACAAGTCACAGTCAGCTGCCAAAGAGTAAACCAGGGTGAGTTGACATCAAACATCACAGTTCTTCCACCATTTTTCTCCCCAGCTCATGTTCCGTAAGATGCGCGGCCTCAGCGAGTTCCCTGACACCTCGCCCGCCATCGGTGACGTCCTCTCGCACCTCACGTCTTCAGTGGAGTTGGATTTCGGAGCCGGACACCCTCTTCACGTGACCATGCTGCCCAACCCATCTCACCTTGAGGCCATCAACCCGGTGGCCCAGGGCAAAACCCGAGCCAGGCAGCAGCTCAGGAAAGAAGGGGACTATTCACCCGAAGACAGCGCCCAGCCAGGGGACCAAGTCATCTGTCTGCAGGTGCTGAATCGCAACAACTAATACACACATGCAGCCAAACTACAAGAAGTTGAAGATTAAATTAACAGATTTATCACAGATTTGTCGTCTTAAATAAAGAACATATGATACATTTTGGCTTTAATCTAATTTCAATTAAATTTGGTGGAAAAAGTTACGATTTTGATGCTGATACAGATGCAGGTTAGACATTTCTAAACATTTTTTCATTGTGGAAGTTGTGCCTTTATTGAGCTCTTGGGAAGTGTGGCGTGATCGATGTGGGATGAAATTCAACAAAGATTCCTGGATGGACAAAAATCCTGGAGGTTACGATTATATGGTGAATCTTGAGGCCACTCCAGGAAGCTAGTTAACATTTTCTGTTGTTAAAATCTTTAATGATTGTGCAGCTTTGGCAGTATACGCCTTCTGGTGATGACTATTGTTTACCAGTTTTGGCCACTTTTGGCCATGAGTTGTGGACCTCCAACATGGTAAGTCAGCTGACGGCCTGCTTCACTTTCCAGTGCTGATCCACGGTTCATTTCTGAGGGTGGCAGATGATAACGAGCCATATTAGAGGAGCACAACTGTAAACCAATGGGAGAGTGATGTAAAGCAGGGAGTTGATAAAGACATCTTTTATCAAACTTCCTGCAAAGTTAAGAGTTAGTGAAACTCTGTTCTTCTTCTCTCCACAGGTCCATGGTGACGGCTCTTTCACTGGTCAAGGGATCGTTCCAGAAACTCTGACCATCTCAAACCTCCCTCACTACAGAGTCGGTGGGAGCATCCACCTCATTGTGAACAACCAAGTGGGTTACACCACTCCGTCAGAGAGAGGGAGATCCTCTTTGTACTGTAGTGACGTCGGTCAGTGAAGCACACAAACAGTATCAGTATTGATTAATTAATTAAACTCCTTTACAGAGAGTGTTGGTGTGATTATCAAATGTTGTGGCATATTTCTTAAACGATTCTAAGGTCAAATGTTTTTGTTTGTAGAAAAATGAGACATTGAGCATCTTACAATGAGAAACATTTGTGTCACAGGTAAGATGGTGAACTGTGCTGTGATCCATGTGAATGGAGATGATGCAGAGGAGGTGCTGCGGGCCACTCGGCTGGCTGTGGAGTACCAGCGGCGTTTCAGGAAAGATGTAATCCTGGATCTGATCTGCTACCGTCAGTGGGGCCACAACGAGCTGGATGAGCCTTTCTTCACCAACCCAGCCATGTACAAGATCATCCGGTCAGTTCAATTTCAGCTTGTTTACTTTGCATTATAACATATTTTCACTTCAAAAGTTATTGTGACATATATTTCTTAGGATTAGTAAGAAGATCAGGAAACTGGATTCAAAAGAAACCAGTTGTTGCCAACCTTTTTGATTTGTGACTCATTATAACATAGTCAGTGTTTTGTTATGTTTCAGATGTCTGAGTTGTTTCCAGTTCCCCTCTAAACTTCCCATGGTTTCATCTAAATTTAAACTGGATGAGAGAAAAGTCCAAAAATGTTTTTTCCTACCTCATTAATCATCTCACTTCCCAGGACCCCCTGTAACTGAGGGGTCAGGCCCCCACTAGGTTGGTAACCCCTGAGAAAGACTGATATTAAGCAGTTATTGGTCAATATTTGTTCTATAAGTTAGTGTTGTTGTCAGTCCAGTGCTGTTGATATTTGGCTGGATGTGACATTAGGTTTTGTATTGTCTCTCTTTCTGGGATGATCAGATACAGCAGTCAATTAGCAACAGCTAATGAGATACAGTCTGAAAAGTTTCCTCTTACAGTACCTACATTGGTATCAATATCAGAATTAAGTGAGTTGGAAAATAGTAGATATTTGTTTCAGCTTCTCTAATTTCCTGGTCTTTGGTGGCAGGGGAAACCTTAACACAGAGACAGTAAATTTAAGTTTGAACCTGTAATTAAAGGGTGGAATTTTCCTCACACTGAATTGTGACCAAATATTCTCAGATTAAAAAAGCAGTTGTAGGTTTGATTCCTGTTTGTAGCCACAACACATCACAGCAACATCTCACTGAAAAATAATTTCCACTTAACAGTTTTTTAGCAGCCACAGCTGCTACGGAGCAAAACAGTGGTGCAATCTGCTTTTTATGCCTCTGTGAAGCCAGAACCAGAGGCATTATTTTTTCGAGTTGTCTGTCCCATTCTCATGAACGCAATATCTCAGTGACGCTTTGGGGGAATTTGTTTTCAAATTTTGCACAAACATTCACTTGGACTCAAGGATGAAGTAATTACATTTTGGTAAAGGGCACGGAGAGCTCACGTAACATGTTTTTGGCCTCTTGAATGTGATATCTCAGGACCACCTTGAGGGAATTTCTTCAGATTTGGCACAAACATTCACTTGGACTCAAAGATAAACTCATTAGATTGTCGTTGGCAAAGGTCAAAGGTCACGGTGACCTCAAAAAACAAATTTTTTTGATTATTATGACACAATTTAATACTAATGTCTAATAGGATAAAATTATGAAGCAATGACATTTTATATCCAAATGATCAAAGGTGAACTTCACTGTGACATCACTTCTGGCTATTATTGGATGTGGTAACTCTGGAAGAGGAGATTGTGGTTTCTGATGAATGTTCCATGGTTAAAATAACCTAAACAGAAAAACTAACAAAAAACAAAATTTTTTAGCTGTGTATTTTGGTCAGTGTATATCAGTGGTGAAAGTTACAAAGTGCTGTTACTCAAGTACTGTAATTTAGTGCAGTTCTGAGCTACTTCGCTTGGATAATTGAATTGTATCCCTGTTCATACGTTTACTACACTTCAGTTCAAAGTGAAATGCTGGTTTGCAGGTTATGGTTTTTAGACGCTAAATGAGGATATAATGAAATTAAATCACCCATCAGTATTTAAAATGACTAAAATTAGCTGAATAATAATGATGTAGTGGTATAATGTATAATAATGTAACACATAGGTAAAATATCTTGATACTTCTTCCATCACTGGTGTATATTGTGAAATAACACTGTTTACTGAACAGACATTTACACATTGTTGCTTTATTGCAGCTCCCGTAAGAGCGTCCCTGACTCCTACTCAGACCAGCTGATCTCTGAGGGTCTGATGACCGACGCTGAGCGTGACGAGATCAAATCCAAATACTACGGCGCGCTCAACGACAAGCTGGCCAACATGACCCTGTACAGCCCACCACCCACCAACCTGCAGGGCCGCTGGGGGGATCTGGTTGAACCCCAGGATAGAGTCACTACCTGGGACACGGGTGTCCCCATCCCCCTGCTGCAGTTTGTAGGAGCAAAGTCTGTGGACATCCCTGAGCAAATCCAGCTGCACAATCACCTTGGAAAGACCCATGCACAGGTACTGCTGTCCTCTACTTCATTTCTGTGGGGTGGTCTTGTGTTGAGGTTGCAGCAGCTTGATGATGATGATGATGATGATGATGATGATGATGATGATTTTTTTTCCTCCTTTGTGAACTCAGGCCCGCTTGCTCAAGTTAGAAGAGGGCACCAAACTGGACTGGTCCACAGCAGAGGCCCTGGCTTTTGGCTCTCTCCTCAGCCAAGGTCAGATACATCAGATCCTAATTTAAGGATCACTGAATTTTTATTGCTGTCAAGAAATGGATTTGTAGATTTGAAATTACTGCTTTTGCAGGTTTTAGTATTCGAATCAGCGGGCAGGATGTTGGAAGAGGCACGTTCAGTCAACGTCATGCCATGGTAGTGTGTCAAGACACCAATGACATGTACATCCCTCTAAACCACATCAGCCCCCAGCAGACGGGTTTCCTGGAGGTAACACTCTTACAAAACAGATCAGCCATCAGTGTGAACATAATCTGTCTAAATCACGGCACAATCAACATTCAGTCTTATCTAACCTTACATCACCTGATATCTGTAACAAGACTGCTTCCTTTCATGTGGCATATTGTGTGTGTGTGTGTGTGTGTGTGTGTGTAGGTGTGTAACAGCCCGCTGTCTGAGGAGGCGGTGCTTGGATTTGAATACGGTATGAGTATCGCACAGCCGAAGCTTCTTCCCATCTGGGAAGCTCAGTTTGGAGATTTCTTCAACGGAGCACAGATCATCTTTGATACCTTCATCACTGGGGGTAAAACTCTGACTACTCTGTTTGCTACTCATATTACCTTAACATCTAAGATTTTCTGAACATTTTAAAGTCTTCATACATCAGATGTGAAACTGCTGTGTCCCCAGGTGAGGCCAAATGGCTGCTGCAGTGTGGGATGGTGATCCTGCTGCCTCACGGCTACGATGGAGCCGGACCTGAACACTCTTCCTGCCGTATGGAGCGTTTCCTCCAGGTCTGTGGGACTGTAATGCTGCATCCATGTCATTCACATTTTTATGTAAATAGTCATCACATCAACATCATAATTACAGCTGGGTAACTCAGATGTTTCTGATAGTTCAGATGTATCTGACTGAGCACTTCATAATATAGAATCACTTGGAAACCAAACCAGCATGGACGCCTCACATCAGCCACAGTCCGTCATTCACACTAATTAAACCCACATTTAATGGATATAATTCTATCTTGTGAACACAGTATTTTTTTTAACCCTCACACAACTGTTGTGAGTAGGGCAATGACATGACATTACATCACAAGTCATAAACATGGGTGAGATGGAAATGTGAACTGAATGAAGGAGTTTTCAGGAATCAAATCTGAAGCATATATAAACCCACACAAGTGGATACATCACTCCTAAACCATGAATTACATTGTACAAGGAATCTCAAGGGAAACGAAGCTCCTGTGTATGACTAGACTGGATCCTCAGTCCCTGATATCATTATGACCTTCAGTGCTACAGAAGCTTCCACTGGGGACGGGGATAATTTGACTTTATCAGTGTTTTCACAGCAGAGACATAACGGTTCCTTCACAGTGTGAATCTTTCCCATCCGACATGAACACGAGATAACTGCATGTTCAAATTCTGCAAATTCATCAGCTGTTGTTTAGTGACCAAACACACCTCAGGAGTTTAATGTTTTGCCTGAAGCAGTGCAGAAGTTATCCTTTCACTCCTGTCCACTTGGAGCTCTGAGGTGTATTGCCACTAACAACATATGGAAAAAGTTAAAGGAGAGGTTCACAATTTTTCAAGTCTGTCTTAAAACAACAGTTTTAAAACATGTTTTTTCTTGGTGTAATCATTCCTCCTGTTCAGGCTGGCCATTAAAAGATCCCTACATAATGTGCTTTGATGGGGGACAAAATCCTCCGTCTGTGCAAAAACACACATTCAAAAGTTTATGTGAAGATCATCGGAGGCTTGAGCTGCCTGAGTTAGACAAATCAGCTGTCTGTCTTCCAAAGTCAGTGTATGATGTTATCAGGGCTAAAACGTATTCAGTAATATGAGGATAATATAATATGAAGCTTCAGCAGTCTGGGTTTGACAAAGGAGTATGTATCTTCCACAGTAACAGCCTTTTTGTGTTTCCCTGTTGAGCTGCAGTGAACAGATGAAACAAGAAGAGGGAATGTTTTACTAAAAAAGTTGTAACTATGGAAGATATCTGCTCAGTATCAAGACACCCAAACAATAAATATAGCGCACTATACACTCAGTGGCCACTTTATTAGGTACACCTGTATAAAAGCACACTACACCCAGTAAAACAGCACAGCCATAAATTCTGCCTTTTTATGAAGTTAAGGGAGAGCAGGTTGTTACCGTTCACCAAGATATTTTCAGAAGGGGGGACACACAGGTTTAATAATTTCTGAAATTCATGTGTGTCATTCCCACTTTGTTGATGTTGGTTTTTACTGTCCAACATACCCCGGTTTGAAAGAAACCTTTTTTTATTATAATTCAGATGTGTGACAGTAAAGAGGAGGGTGTGGACAGCGACAGCGTGAACATGTCTGTGGTCAACCCCACCACTCCCGCTCAGTACTTCCACCTGCTGAGGCGACAGATGATCCGAAACTTCCGCAAACCTCTCATCGTGGTCGGACCCAAGACGCTGCTCAGATTCTCTGTAAGCACAACATTTTATCTCCAACTTGTTTTTACAGGTGTTTTTATTGAGGTGGGTGAACAATGTTCTTTCTTTTGGCAGGGGGCAGTGTCCAGTCTGACTGAACTGGCACCGGGAACGTCTTTCAAACCAGTGTTAGGTGACACTTCAGTATCAGCAGCAAGGTACATTTTCATGATTGTAAAAACTTTTTCTATGGGATGTTAATTATTCGGTAGGGTGAAACATATTGAAATTAAACTTCAAAGGTCATCAACAGTGTTTGTGAACTAGTTTTCTACAACGTTTGATGTTCTGAATGACCCTTTATAAAAAACCTGCTTAAACCTGGGAGACACCTGTTTCAAAAGCAGTCTCTATACAGTACATTAAACCTATGTTTTCTTATTCCACTCAGTGTCCAGAGGGTGGTGCTGTGCTCGGGGAAGCATTACTATGCCCTGCTGAAACAGAGGGAGGCATCAGCAGCAAACCAGAACACGGCGCTCATCCGTGTGGAGGAGCTGTGTCCGTTCCCACTGGAGGCTCTGCAGCAGGAGCTCAAAAAGTACCCCAGTGCCAAAGGTAGTGTCACCCCTCACCGACCTCTCCTGTCTTCTGTCTTTACAGAGCTCCCCCTCCACTCCTCATAGACACAGAAACTGTATGTGTGGCAGTTTGTTTGCTTTGACCTGGTGCTTACTTTCTTGTTTATGTTGCTGCTGCTATAACACAAGTAAACAGGGGCGTGCTCATGAACACATTAACACTTTCACAAATGTGACTGAGCACTTCTTCATTCTGTGTACACACATGTTCAGTGAACATTTCAGTGCAGCTTAACCTAAGTGTGACTGCTTTTTGGACTTAATTTCACTTAAAACCTTTGTGTAAAAATTGATCTTAAAATCAATTATAAGTCGACTATATGTTTGATTTTCATTTCGTCAGTCAGACATGTTTATTCAGCTGGATGGTAATTGTGTCTCTTTGTGTCCACTGTTCCTCTTTACTAACAAACCTTTCCTGTGTTTTGCAAATGTCATGATGTTTGAGGCATTTCCCTGTGCAACGTTACCTAACACGTCTTTGTCTGTGTGACTGATGAAAAAGAGGAAAGACAAGTTTATTTATGAAGCAAAGCACTTTTCACACATCAAGGCCTTTTTGTAGTTCACGATGTAACACACAAAAAAGACCAAATAATAAGAAAAATAAATGCGTAATAAAAGGCAGTTTGTTCCAGATCTAAATGTGGAGCAGAGAAACTGCTACTTTTCAATGTTGAGTTTTAATCCTCTTAACTTTGCTTTTTTACAAAGACACCATTACAATAGTCTGTCCTGCTAAAAGGAAACCATGGAGAAATTTTTCCAGGTCATTGAGAGGCACTCGTCCTTCGATTCTCACTGTATCTTCAATGTGGCACACTTAAGTTGTAGTTGTCCTGATGATTTTAAAGTCTTCAAAGATGTCTGGATCCCTTTCACCGAAGGCAAGAAAACAGAGCCAAAGTGAGCAATGACCTTTGACCTTTGCTGACAACAGAAAATCAATTCAGTTTTATCTTTGTTTGGGAAAGGGATTTTTCTAAAACTTGTATATTGTAGACTATAAATGTGACTTGATGAAACTGTCAGCTACATTTGAGTGTCAGGCAGAAAAACAATTACAAAACCGTCTCCATAAGTGAGTCACACTAAGTTGAATGCCACTGCCAACTTTAATAGATATCTGACAGTCGCCACTTTTATCAGTGAGTCCTCAAGACGGCATTAGAGAACCAGTATCTGACAAACTAACATCTAAAGTATGAGCGTCACCAGACCACAGGACTGTTGAATAAGTGTTTCTGTTATTTTGTCCACCCTCAGTGGCTAAATGAGTGTCAGTCCAGACTCTGATGTTGGTTGGTTTATTTTATTATGCAACACTTTACAAGCATGAGAAACAACTGGCCTCAGCATCCTTCTCTTGACCCATGAATCTTTGGCATTTGTGGGCTGTTAACTGTACTTAGTGGAGGTGATTTTCGTTCCTCTATCGAACTGCACCACAATTACAGCACATCAGAAGAAGAGGATGTATTTACTGGCATTTTTCACATTAAGAGTTCAAATCACGCAGTCATCTCTGGATTTGTCACACTTTCATCTGGTCCTATTTTTCTGCCTCCACTTTCACAGTCTTAGTTTGATTGATTCACTAAAAGAGCGTTAAACTGAGTCATCTTACTGTCCAAGCACCAAAATCCAGATGGGAGAAGCTCTGAGTTGATTAAAATGTAATAATGCTCATCTGAGTGGCCCTCAGTATTAACTGTGTGTTCACAGCATTTGACCTCTCAAAGCAGTAGTGAGTGATTTTCAGACTTTGCTTCTCAAGCATCATACGAGCTGCCTTACCTTATTGGGTTGTTGTTGGCGCTTTAAGCAGCTTGTGACAAAGACTTTGGGCACAGCTCAGGGCGGAAAAAAATCAACTGACTCCTCCTTTAATTTTCACTTTTTCTCAGAAAATTCTCGTTACAAGATGCTAGAACTGATCATGAACCAAGGTTAAAGGACTAAAAGACGGTGCTCTTTGTAATAAAGCTAGAAATAAAATATTTATGGAGTTTAATGGTACATTGTTGACATTCATTTATCAAAAAATATCAGGTTTCTAACAAGGGAATTACAGGTGATTATTGGTTTACACTAACATTATTATGGAAAGCATAAACAGTTTAATGGTGAGTTATTTGCTGGATGATAAGAATTCATGTAAATGAAGACAATAACATTTATACTACTTATTTATACTATTCTTTTTCTTTTTTTTCTTTAAGGAACATCTTGCTTGATTGTGCCGCTCTCCCCCCACTTATGAAACCAAACCTGTGCCCTGTAGACTTTGTAACTCTATGCAATCTGTCATTGAGGCTTTCTTTCATCTGGAAAAGTGAAAGTTACTTCAGTTTCCACTGCAGCAAAATTTAAACTCTGTGATTTTAACTAAAGTTTAACAACAATACATTTGTTGGCAATCAGAACACTAAAACTAACAGAACATTTTTTTATCAGTGCAGCAGCATGTGGGTCGTTATTCTTGGTTTTTCTTTTGTAATCTTTCTGATTTTCATTTCTAATATTGTTTTCCAACTTTTTTAGCTGTTATCTCTGCTGTCGTTCAGTCCTCCCTGTCCACTCGTAGCTTGTGGTTTTCCGCCAAACCTCAAAATGTTCAATGCGCTATCACAGAAGACCATAAAAACCAGTAATATTCATTTGTGAGAAGCTAGAACCAGTGGCATTTTTGATTAAAAGCAACTTAAAAGATTAATTGATTATCATAATTGTTCCCTATAAATTTTCCATAGATTGTTTCAGCTCTAAAAAATTAAATAAACCATGATACTACATTGTTTTTGAAGGTTTACATTTGATCTCTATACAAATGGAGTGAACTTTCTAAAATACCATTAAACAAGGTTAATAATAATAATAATAATAATAATAATAATAATCACTATTTATATAGCTTTACAGACATGAGTGATTAAAAACAATGAGAAAATGAACATTCATGGGAGCAAATAAAATGCAAGAAAGAAGAAAACATGTTTAAAAAAACAAAACAAAATAAATTAAATTACAAGGCTGGATATTAATGATTTGTATTGTTATAAATGTGATATTGAATGAGTTTTTTTTTTTTTTTTAACTTCTGGAACAAAACCTGAAGGTTCAGGTTTCACTTCACGTCTCTGGTACTTTGTTTTCACCAAAACCACTGAAGCAAATCCAGTTTCTGTTTGATCTGGAATTTCTCTGCCCAAGGGCAAGAAAGAAACTTCAACCAAAGTTGTTCCTGAAGTCACGTGTGTGAACCACTTCCTCTTTTACTGTCAGTTGAAATCACTTTTCATTACAATTCTCCCCCAGAGTTTATTTGGAGTCAGGAGGAGCCTCAGAACATGGGTCCCTGGTCTTTCATAGCTCCCAGGTTTGAGAAGCAGCTCGCCTGCAAGGTGAGCAGCGTGTGAAATAATAAAATCTACAATATAAAGCTACTGGTTTGTAAACGAATTGTTGATGTTAAACACACAACCCTCACTCCTCTGTCCTCCTCAGCTCCGGTTAGTGAGCCGACCTGCTCTGCCTGCCCCCGCTGTCGGTATCGGGACCCTCCATCACCAGCAACAAGAGGCCATCATCACCGCTACCTTCTCCTAAGACTCAACAAGACAGGGAACCAAAATAAACACCAGTACACAAGCTTCAGTACTACACTACATACTGAATCGGCTGTGGTCTTCCCAGCGTCATCACTAAAGAGCAGAGCTGCTGCGCGACAGATACGTGGGACCTTTACATGATGTGGACGGGCGGTTTTTAAACAAATTGGTCAATAATTTAAAGGACAAATCAAAAGAAGTGATGAAAAGAATAGTGTTGATCATTTTAATTGTGCTCTTGTAGTCAAACAGGTTTTAATTAGTATATGGATGTGGTTTGAAGTCAAGGCCTGAATTGTGGTTTACTTGTTTTTTCCCCCTCCTCTCATTGAACACAAGTTTTCTTTCTTTGTTTAAGGCACTATGCTAAGAGCAAAACACATTGCTAATTTGGTTCAGCTCTGAATCGAGGCCTTAGAGACAATGTTTACAATGTGACTGTAGAACAAAAAGCACTTTTAGCTGACCTTCGTATTTGGAGCGCTCAGGACTGTCTCTTGCCTGTCGAGCTGTACAGGCACATTATATTTACGGAGATGAAACTGTCTCTGAACGAACAAAGGAGTTGTTATCATTCTGACTGTTAAATGTTTATCCTGTCTATCAGATAAACGTCTGGACATGTCATGGTACTACTTGATTGTTTAAACTGAGACTTGAGTTCACCGGTTTTAAAGGGCTAATTGTAAATAAACAAAATCACAATATTCAAATGGAAATATTTTCAAATAAATCTATTTTCAAGGTCATGCATCATGTTTGTGCTTTTTTTAACCAATCTCGCGCTTGTTCACTCACTTGTTGAGTCTCACACGCTGTAATGAGAAAATAGTCTTTAAAGTAACTAGGCTTTCAAGAACTCAAGCTCGGCTGCTGGAAACAATGGAGCATTCTGCATAATATACTAATGATTACTTTTACTTATGGTACTTTAAGTATATGTTAATGATAAAACTTTTGTACTGTTACTTAAGTAAATATTTTTGATGCATGACTTTTACATGTAACAGAGTATTTCTGCTCTGTACTGAGTTCTTCCTCCACAGTGGAGGATAAACCAAAGTAAATTTGGTTGACTGCTGTTTTACAGCTTGAATTTAAATTGATAATTTTTCTAGATAAATTGTTAAATTCATGTGAGTTGTGATGCATAAGTTACATCAATGAATTTAGGCTAAATAACAGACACACCTCTCTGCACAGTTGAATCAACACCTCTATAAAGCTGTCTCATTAGAAACTGGACATAATGAGGATTTAACTCAAGGATTTATTGCAGGACTGTTGTATTAGACTGTAGGTGCACCTAATAAACTGGCAGCTGAGTGTATATAAATATTGTCTTTAACACATTTTATAAAGGCATGATTCAAATGTGCCAATTATTCTTCCATCGGGAGAATATTTGAGGTTTGAGTTCTCTTGTCCCCTGAGTCTGCAAGAAAGCTTTATACACTTTACACTTCATATAGAATCACTTATTTGGAAAAAAAAAAAAGGTTTGAATGGTATTGGTGTTGTGTGCAACAACAGAAATGACCTCATTAAAAGTACAATCTTGTACCAGCACTTCTACTCGAGCAGGATAGTCTTGGTCTGCTTCCAGGCTGCTGAATCGCCGCTCTCTCAGATTTTGTCAAGTGATTTGGAAATAGTCTGGTACTCTCACAAACTGCTGTTTCCCAGTTGGTGAAACAGCTGAGCCAATCAGCACTTTTGGAGGCTTTGGACTGAGTCTGGTGTCTAAACATCCCAGAGCCTGAATCAACAAGTAAATGTGGTGAAAAGTGAGGATGAAACGGACACAGCTATTGAGTCGTTGTTAATCTACCTACTAAAACAGCAGCACTGAAACACTGTGCATTGAAGATATATGGGTTGGTAATTAAATTCTCTAATTAATTCTCTGTTGAAATGATAAATTAATTGGCTGATTGTTGCAGCTCCAGTATTTATTTAATTGATTTGATTGCTTCAGAACAAAATGGTTGAGAAGAAGCTGATATCAGATGAGGGTGGAAACAAAAATGGAATTACACTAGAATATTTCAAAACCCAATGTACATTTGTACACATTTTATTCTGATTTTGAAGCAGCTTGGTTTCTGCAAACCTGCAACCAAACAAACAAAACATAGAAGAAAGTGGAAGGGGACCGAGGGTCACCTACATGAGCCCCTATAACTCCCAGCTACGCCCCTGCCTTTATATTTCAACACATGTTAAAATGAAAGCATCTGTTTGTGCAACGACCAGACACAAAAAAACACGAGACTTGGTTTAACGTGAAGATGTGTTTGAGCAGAGACAGACCCTGACACCGATCAGTCCGCCGGAGTTTCCACCGGGCCGGTGATTTGGTGCAATGCGAACACTTAAATCGTTCCTTGTGCACGCTGCTGTCAGATAGATAGGCGGGAGCAGCAACCTCCCACTCCTCCTATTGCTATAACAACCACAGGGCGGTCGGTGTGACTCCATGGCACAGCACCACTGATGCGACTGCCAAGTGTCATCCTCCTGCAAGTAGCCCGACCCCGGCTCACCGCATCGTCGCTTGACTCTGACTGAATCCCGCCCGGTTAGAGGAGGAGGAGGGGGAGGGAGAGCCAGTGTTTCCCCGTCACAGTGATCTGAACAGTGGGGAAGCTCAGGCTCGGGATCCGCTACGTCAAACAGATTAGTCAAATAACCTCTCGGGGTAGGACATACCTCCCCTCCTTGGGCTTGCCTGGCCGCGTGCATGGGCTGAGGAAGCAAGATAGTCTGCGTTGACAAACAGCCAGGAAGCCTTTGGCGAAACACAGAAGTGCGCTACTTTTCTTTTCTTGTGCTGTTTTCCTTTTTCTTTCTTTTTCTTTTTTTTTTGGCTGGATGAGACGACTGTGGTGATCCTCCAGAAGCGTCTCTTCCTCTCCTACCCCCACCCCAGTGCGAAATGGCGAAAGAAAACGGCGAGTCCAGCGATGGATCTTGGAAAAAGCATGTCGATGACATCAAGAAAATATTTGACTTCAAGGAAGTCCTTGGGACGTGAGTAACAAGATAACGCTGCGTTTGCAGGCGACTAGAAACTTTGTAGCCAGTTGTGTGAATTAGCGCCAGACAACAATGCCACATTGTGCAGTTTAACGGAAACGAAAAGCAGACTGACAGCTGTTGAATATGTGTTGAAGTAACTGAGAATTGTTCGACGGTGACAGACAGAGACGAGGGCCTTTTGAACTTACTGCCCGCTAAAAGAGACATTTAAAAAAATCCAATCAGGGCCATCATCAGTTAATTGTTCAGAGAGGGGGGATGATGATAAAAATGCTCCCTGCTTCTGTTCATGTCACATTTCATTCAAAAACTACTGCAGCCTGTTTTTGTTCTCCCCACAGATCAGATCAGATCAGATCAGGGCTGAAGCATGTGCACAGAGCTTTGTACAGGCAGCCATTTGTTTGGGGTCGTTTTGTACAACAGAACAAGTGTGACAAAGACAACAGGGCCTATTTGCATACACAAATCAAATGATGAAATCAGCTCCCTAAATTAAAGCACCATCTGTGATGACTTTATGTGCTCCTGTGCTCCATCTCTTGCTCTCCTCTTCAAACGAGGAGACAGACTGTGAAGAAACACTGTGTCTGTGGGTTTACGGATTCAACTTGCTGCTACAGACACTTGTTTGTACAGTAAACTCTCTTATGAGAACTGAGTTGTGCGGCTCCGTTTCCTTTGGCTTGTTCTTGTAGTTCAGGGACCACTTTGGTTGAAGTCATTCTCTTGCCCTTGTTCCACAGAGGAGGCAAATTCCAGAGTTTATTTCGGTCCACTGTTAGTGCTGCTTGACTTCGTGTCTTGTCTTCTTTGAATAAGTTATGCCGCAGAAAGAGGGCCACAGTATAGAAGACCCCAATCTGCTAAAGGAAGCTGGTCTCAGGCTGTCAGTATTGTGATAGACTGCTAGGTGGTTTCACACATTTAATGAGTATATTTCTCATTTCCCCGCTGGTCTTTGTCCCCTGAAGTCATGTCCCTCCTCCCTTGACTGAGAGTAATTTAATGTGGTGTTTGTGTTGTTGGGGATTCTGGGAAGGCCCGTGTCTCCCTTGGGAAATGTGTGTTTTTTTAATTAAATTTGGCTTCAGAAACTGGTGACAAGCTGAGCAAAATAAAAAATTTAAAAAAAAATGGCCTCTAGTCACTGGGATTGTAGCTAAACTGGGAAGGAGGTCATTCATAAACAATAAGGCACACTTGTTGTGGTTTGCTGCTGTAAGATGAACAACCTCATCATGTGTAAAAGCAGAATAATCGGCATCTTCTTGGCTTTCCTCTCCATCTTCTGTGAAACTCTAGACTTCTCAGCGTGACCACAGACCTGTTTTTCCTGAGCAGCAGCATCATAAAAGTCTCATGCAGATTGGTGATTCATAAAGCGCACTTCAGCTGTTGTACTAAACAGTCAGACATTCCTACCTGGAGGCAGTTTTGATTTCCCCAAGGCGTTCATTTATGTGTGAAGAGCCTCTGAATAACACCAGTGAATCATCGTGATTTACTGTCCACACAATGGCCAGGTTGGAGGAACACAGATCCCTCGCCCACAACCCAACACACATCTCCGGGGCCAGTGTGTCACTGTTTGGCCCTTATGTTACATATTGTACCGCATGTACTCGTCCTGATTGACTTTAAGTAAGCCCCATTTACCAGTTCCTGTGCATCTTAATCGGGGAGTGCCTCATTGCTGCAGAGTGGGGTTCACAACAGGCCACCCAGGACAGAAAAGCCCAGCCGCCCTGCAGCTTTACCTGGATTAAAAATGGATGAGAAGGACTGTTGGTCAGAGGAAGCGACACAGATTATCCTCCTCCTCCTCCTCCTCCTCGTCCTCCTGCTCTAACTTTTAACTGTAGAGTCCTCGTCAGGTATCTCCATCAGTGTCCAAGAGGGATCATCCCTCTGCGACGTCTCATTGCCCTCCACACACCAGCAGTGGAAACTCACTAAGTACATTTACTCATGTTTTCATGCTTTCAGCTTCAAAGTTCTTTCCATTTTATATTCATTTATACCTCTACTCTACCACATGTCAGAGGAAAGTATTGTACACTTCTTTATAATGATAATAATCTTTACTTATAAAGCACTTATCAAAATCTACGTTTCAAAGTGCTTAACAAAGGCAGCAATAAAATTGAATCAATAGATTTCACTTTCTCTTTACTGCAGTGTATTTATCAGACAGCTGTATTTATTAGTTATTTTGCAGATCAAATTTTGACTCACTAAACTTCCTGTTATTTTATCAGATATGATGCGTTTGATGTAAACTGCCCACCAGTCTAAAGTAGTTCAAATTAGCTTCATCTCCACCACCTACAACTTTAAAATCAGTAACAATTATCAAATATAAGACAATATAAATCTAACTGGAGCCATTCTGCTGCACATCCTGTAACTTTATTGATATATTTGACTTTGTATTGATACCTTAAATACGCCTCATCGTTCAGTTGCATTGATACAGTGATATTTGATCTTCTGAAATGTTATGTGTGGATTTGAAAACGTGAACATCGGCGTGAACGTTTTACAGAGAGAAAAGATCGTATTTCAGCAGCAGCTGGAGGCCGCTCTGTCGGTGTGAACGTTATGACTGATCAGATATTAGCAGGAGTTTGGGAGCAGAAAGCCTGCGGCACTGTCAGTAATGCTTTGGCCACACTTCTTCCCCATGCTGTCTTGCTTTAGATGTTGTGAGCTAATGAGATCATCGTCGCTGAAGCCGGTCCTCCTTCCTACACCGCCACTTGTCTTGCGGCTAATTTCAGACCCGTAAGCTGCTGATACTCTGTGGAAGCAAATTAACTAACCTGACCACAAGCACCTTCAGAGATCCCAGTGGGCAAAGGGCTGTAAATGTGCAGCATAAGGCAGGGCTACCACTCACAGCGGGGATGTGGGGATGTTTGTCTCATACTGTTTTTTAACAATATACTTTAAGTACTTTAAGATTGAGGATGCACTAATCCAACTTTTTCTCTCCCAATTCCCTCTCAGACTAACTGCTGATACTGAGTACCATTCACAAGCCAGTTTTTCTCTGATTTAAAATCTGTATATTAATTTTGATGTACGTTAACATGAGGCGAGGCACTGCTGTGGCACTAAAAACTGTGTCAGCAGCAGACATGACTAAAAAAATGTAACAGAAACACTGAAGTTTATGTCTGCCCAAGAAAACTGTAGTCAATGTGGATCGGTCACATCATGACCAAAACAAAGAAAAGGTCAGTATTGCTGTAGATACTGATTACGGCATTTCACATTGGTGCTACCGATGGGCCGATCCAGTATATCTGCCAGTGTTAACTTATCGATGCGTGGTTATCAGTTTATATTGGCCAACAAAGAACAAGAAGCTGCAGCGGACAAATGCCACAGGTATGAGGTTTGAGGTCATTTAGAAATAGTGTTGAGAATGAAGCGAAACAGTGGAGTTGTGGGCCGAGAAACCAAAACAATGAGCCGAAACCTGCTAAAACGCTCTGAGCTAGAGCTGAGGGAACTGCAGTGTCAAGTGAAGTGAAGGGATTTCTAAACTCTCAAATTTCACTAACTGCCTCAAAAATCCAGTACAGGTCAGGTGAATAACTTTAATGTTGGCTTATTTTATCTGTTTAAATATAGTGGCTTAAAAGCTGTCCAAAAATGATGCTTTCCAATTTGATCCTTTCTAAGTGCTTTGTCATGTAGTTTCAGAATCCCACTCTCTGAGATTAAAGTGCCAAAGTTGTCCTCTGTTAGCTCCCACTGCAGGGCCGAACAGAGCTGAGCAACAGCTGACTCATTCATGTCACTTTTTGCCCCGTAAAGCCACAATCTTTATCTGAGTCTAACTAAGAGGAAACTTGCCTTTTTCTCAGTTTGATATTAATGAATAAAGAAGCTTCTTCAACCAATATTAAACTGACCCTGCTCTGAGAAAGCCCCGCTCATCTGTGGATGCATGAAAGTGTTTGCTGTTGCCTCCATGCATTGATCATTCTCTGACACACAGCTTGTGTAGAGACTAGTGGGGTCCTTAAAAGCAGCCTGAAAGCAGTGAAAATGGCAGCTAGGCAACTGGGATGGTGGAAGTCCTTGGTTGCTCCCTCTGATGAAGACACTACCTACCACTGCCCACCACCACCACTGTCCTCCAGCTCAGTTCAGTGTGGGAGGACATACTTTGTCACGGACTGCAATGATGGAGAGTGAAATAATTTGCCAAGATAATGCGTAGTTTGTTGTGTGCGTAGTAATTTCCTGAATCTCCATTTGTATTCATCCCCCTCTCGCCTCAGTGAATGCCTACAGAGCCAGCGTGTAAAGAGTGTTGAAGTGTACCAGACTACCCAGTATCAGAGCACAGGAGGCAGTTATCACCCCATTAAAATAATTCAACTTCTCTCTGACAGGCTGGTTTGTGGCTTCAAACGGGTTTCTGCCAAATAGTTCCCTCGAGATTGGGATAATTTTTCCTTTTTATTTGTTTATGAGTGACATTAGATCATATCAGCCCCATCTTTCCTCTGTTTGATCAACAGTCTGGTGAACACAAAGTGCACATTCCTGGAAACTAGCCTCAGGTCCGGTGTGTGTGTGTGTGTGTGTTGGTGTTTAATGGTTTCCAGCTTCAGTCGTTGGGACTGTGAGAGCTGCTGGATTTCATTCTAGTCATATTATCAGAGTTCATTTAACTCTGCAGCAAAAGATCAATGCTGTTTACTACCTGGAACAGACAACCAGTATCCTGAGGATCAAAGCTGCGAACAAGACCAAACTGGTTAAATCATCTCTGTGGTAACATGGAAATAAATAACCATTATATGGTACGTCTGCAGTACTCCCATTTTACTAGATGCCAGGGGCTAACATAGTTTTTACTCCCCTGCATTTATTTGACATTTCCATAGGCCTGCAACTAAGTCATTTTGATTATCGATTGATTTATTATTTTTTAGATTAATCGTTTGGCCTGTAAAATGTCAATAAAAAGCAAAAGAAAATGGCAATCTCAATGTTCCTGAAGCCCAAGATGTTTGAATTACTTATTTTTTCCAACCACCACTAAAACCAAATAATATGTGAGAACCAGCAAGTGTTGGGTATTTTTGCTTCAACAAGACTAAGAGTCTACAGCCATGCTAGCAGCTCTGTGCGTTTACCATGTTCAACACCGTAGCTTAGTGTGTTAGCATGCTAACATTTGGTAATTAGCACTAAAGTCAAAAGTACAGCTGAGGCTGATGGGAATGTCATTAGTTTTGCAAGTTGGTCATGAACCAAATTTGATCTGAAATCCAAATGTCACTGGAAAAGTGAAAAGTCAGCAGATCACCACAGTTGGTAGGATTCATCTTGAGGGGAGCGTGAATGTCTGTACAAAATTTCATTCCAATCTATCGAAGAGTTGTTGAGATATTTCAGTCTGGACCAAAGTAGTGGACTGACCAACTGGCATTGCCACCCCTAGAGCCGAAAGGTTAATTGATTATCATAATAGCTGCCAATCTATTAATTGGATGAATCGTTTCAGCTCGATACTTAACAGATTAGGATTTAACATAAAATGGGATCAACTTATAAAATACGATGATTAAACTACCAACAGTATGTAGTTAAAGTTAGTTCCACCTCGGCCAGCTACAACTTTAAAATGCTACTTGATTGTTAATGCACCAGTAACAGTATTTGAATAATGTAAAGTGCGGTGCAGTAATATTACACAGACAGGGCACATTCTCATCATTAGTACTTTTACTTTTGATACTTTTTACTTATATTTTTTTTACATGTTGCAGATAATACTTGTATAATTTGTGTAACATTTTGAATGGAGGACTTTTACTTGTAATGGAGTACGTATCTATACTGATAAATTGGTACGTATTAGCTTATTGCAGATATATTGGTATCAGCCTATACTAAGAAACAAGAAATTGCAGTATAGAAATGAATATTGAGGTAATTCACAAACAATTAGATTATTAAATAGTTTTTCCACCAGAGACAATCAGCTCGTTTGTATTGTTATCAGATTTTAAAAAAACAACAAAAAACTTCACTCTTGATATCGGTATTGGCCTCAATAATCCAGTATCAGCCAGGTTATAGTGGTTTCAGTATATTCCAGATCTTGATAAGAATAATACGTAAGTTAAGTTAGAAAAAAATAGTAATTTTCACATAGTTTTTCTGGCTGACACTGTAGTTTACAAAACTCTGAGTAGACAGAGTAGCATATCACAGCTGAGCAGATGGTGGTGTGAGGTCTGTTAAAAATAAGCATTTTGTGTAACTGCAAAACGATCTGCTGCCAATACAACTTTTATTACCAAATGTGACGAATTTTAGCTCAGATGTGTAAAAGTATGTTTACTGGACAAGCATGTAAAAGTAATTTGTTAAATGAGTAAATGTAAATCCCAGTTGGTCCCAATTATTCAGTATCTTTAACTTTAGCAAACTGTATAAATTAGTTTTACTTAAATCCTTTCACAGCATCATATCATCTGTCAGATTTCTGGCTGAAGTTATTGTTGCACCGTTGGAGGGTGACTTTGAGCAGAGCAGGCTGCACCGACAGTAGCTCTACCTGGATTATCAAGTTCCGACTTTTCCATCCCATATGTTGCGTAACGAGCTGCTGTAATGCATCTTACACAAGATGATTCAGTGTGATTACTCAGCAGCACCACAAAACATGCAGCGCCTGTGAATGTCAATAAGCCAGCCTCAGTCACAGAGACCCCCACCACCCCCTCCATCAAAAAAAAACAACTTCCTCCATCAAGACTGCCCTGCATTTTCATAATCGCCACTGATGAGCATCTGAGGTCGAAGGCCTCAACAAGTTTCATTTGCTTTGCTTCTGCAGCACCAGCCGCCGTTTTCACATAGAGCACAGCCCACATTCACATTTCACTTTAGTAAGCTGGTTTGGCTTGGCTAACCTGCACATAGTGTGGTGGTGTTGTGTGGCTGCAGACTGACACGCGCACACACACACACACACACACACACACACACCCACCCACACACACACACAAACACACACACACACACCCACACACACACCCACACACACCCACACACACACACACACACCCACACACACACACACTCTGGGAAGAACTTAAAATCATCAACTGTCATTATTGAACCGAGTGAGTCAGGGTGCTGACTTGGTTGTGCAGTCAGTGACACTGGAAACATTTTGCTGTCATACAATCATCATTCATTTTGTGTAATAGAATGAGATGTGCTTCAATAAAGGGTCCAGTTCACATGGAGCTTTCTCTCATTATTTAATGCTGCCCCAGAGCACGCCAAGGATTATTCTAGGGATGAATTTGGTTTGCTGGATATCGCATAAGTTGATCACTTGTGTAGAGCTACAACTAACCAGTACTTTTATTATCATTTTATCTGCAAATTATGCTCCTGATTAATTGATGAGTCAATGAAATATTATAAAGTTGTGAAAACTTTGAGGCAGAAGTGACGTATTCAGATTTCTTTATTTGTCTGAGCAGCTATCAGAAATCTAAACACATTTCATTTACTGTGGCATGACAAAGAAAACACTAAATCCTCACATTTAAAAAGCTGGTACCACCAAATGTTCAGCATTAATGCTTCAAAAATGACATTATGAAATCAATTATCAAAGTCACTGGCATTTCGATTGACTAATCATTTCAGCTGTAGAGTGTGTATGTATGTGCAGATAGGACATGTGGGCGGCAGCATCACCATATGCATGTCTCCAGCAGACATCGCACCCTTTCTTTTCTGTGAATTGTGAATTAATAGACTGAATGCTTTGAGGGCTTGCAGCACAGTTTATCATGCCTCATGCATTGACAGAGCAAGGGAAGTCACAGGCTTGGATTCTGTCATGTTGTCATTCACAGGAAGTGATGTTGCTGCTTGTCAATGTGGTGAGCGGGGGGGACAGAAATGGTGCTATAGGCTGTAACAAACCTCTCTGTCAGTTCACAGGTTTCCTGTGGTTTATATCACCGTGTGTCTCCTGCTGCAGAAAGCACAAAGCGTGCTCTGAAAAAACGTGCAAGAGAGTTGCTTGACAGGCTCAACGTGCTGGTAGAGGAATTTTGTTCTTAATGTCCGCACAGCTGTAGGAGTCGGCCGCATGTGCTGAATAGAAAAATTATGCTCATTGTCCTCACGGCAACAGCTGTGCTAGGAAGATGTGTGTGCATGTGTGTGTGTGTGTGTGTGTGTGCTGTAACAAGCCAGCAAGTAATGCACCAACTCTCTTGCACAAGCCCTTGAATTTACATATTGTCCCACATGCCAGAATGAGGTCAAAGTCGGAAGGGCGTATGCTCCGAGCCCCCCTCACTTCTGTTTGTTTGCTGTGTGGCTTTGCAACCAGGTAGTGTGTTGGTGCACAGTCTGTGTTTGTGTGTCATGGCTCTGGCTGACCCCCCCCCACTCCCTGTGCGGTGGTGGAGTGAGGGATTAGCGTGGATTTGATGGCCACGGTGGGACTTAGTGCAGCAAGCAGCACTGAGTTTAGAGCCTGTCGGGCGGAACTGATTACACTTTGAGAACATAATGGACCTTTTGATGCCGGCCGTCTTGCTGTTTGTGAGGCGGTGATTCACCTCAGGTGTGTTTCTCCACATCACTTTTTGTATGACTGATGATGTTCCGACAGGCCGCTTATACTGCAGGAGGCAGTATGTTTTGTTTAATGAAAATATTATATTTTCATATATATATATATATATATATATATATATATTGCATTATAATATCATGTCAGCAAAAAAACAGAAGAGACAATAAACAGAAAAAAGTAAAGTAATCCAAGTGAAAAACTCCATGTGTCTTAGCTGCTCAGTGCTGATCAAGAAGCTATGACCAGGGATGATACTATATGAATCCAGAAACACAAAGAAAATCACAACACTCTGGTTCACATGACCATTTTTTCTTATCCTGACACGTTTTGGTAAGCCTCCATCAGAGCCATCAACTCATCAGTTGATCAAACTTTAATGTAGTGTTTTAGATCACATTATCATTGGTCCAGTGACCATGACCCAGAGAGTTTCAAATCATCCATCTTTTTTTAAGATCTTCACATCAAACTGCCCTCGGGGCTCATGGAAGTAAAAAGGTGCCTGTGAAGGTGTGTAATGAAAAGAGAAGCTGGGAGGGGGGGGGTAAAAAGCAATCATGCAGCGTGCTCAGCGAGATTTATTAAGGTGGACTGAACGTTGTATCATAGCAACAGATACAGATTGCTTGAGCAAATATTCCCTTAATTCAGTATTTGTTTTTAAAGGCTCTCATGTATGGAGACAGATGGCCGAGGAAGACACGCTATCAGCCGTCCTAAATGGGTGTTTTAAAAGTGTTTGCCATGCTTTTGGCTGCACACGAGCACCAGGCGTAGGCCAACGCAGAAGGCTGCTGGCCATAGAAGGGGACTTTGCCAGTTCTCAGTAAATATTCACAATATGCTGTTTGTGTACTCTGGCCTGTCTGCCTCTGAGTGCCCTCTGTCTGCTCACTGACGATAGGTTTTCTCTGTCAATATTGCCTGAGCGCATATCAAGCAGGACTAACATGTTTCTCTTTCTCTCTGGCAGCGGGGCATTTTCCGAAGTGGTGATGGCTCGGGAGAAGGCCACAGGAAAGATGGTGGCAATCAAGTGCATCCCAAAGAAAGCGCTGAAGGGGAAGGAGACTAGCATCGAAAATGAAATCGCCGTGCTTAGGAAGTAGGTACCGCCTGACTGAGCCACGGGGGAGTTTGCAGAAGAACACCACTTAAGAAAGGGTCACCACCTTGCGTCATCCTCAGCGGGGGGAAAGCGTGTGTGTGTGTGTCTCTGTCTCTCTGTCTCTCTCCACTCTGAGTATTGACTCAGAGTTGGGATGCTGGTGCCACTCAGTTTATTTAACAGTCATTGTCAGGCTTAAGTGACTTCCTTGTCGAATCTCATCCACCCACCATTTTGGGTCTTCACAGTGTTCGCACTCACACACACCTACACAGGGTATGATAGGATTGCATTGACACCAGGTGACACTCCATCCTCCTCCAGGGTCTGATGGGTAATTCCCCCGAGAAGCTCAGTCATCAGTCACTCTTGAAGTGAGAACGCCAGTTGTTGGGTATAGTTGCTTGGCTACAGTTGCTATCCTTTGACTTCCTCCTTTTTCTCTCTCTCTCTCTCTCTATTTTGATTTCTCATACCCTCTTTTTTTCTCCCTCTTTTTTCTCCCTCTTTCCTTGTGTCTGTTATTCTAACTGCCCTCAAACTGCAACCTTAATTTTCATTCTGGACTTAAAGAGGAAGTTGCAGAGATTGTTTAGTCCTTTGAGACTCTCTCCCCGCCTCCTCTTCCACCCCCACCTTTTTCTTTTTCAGCCACCTGCCTTTCTGAACACGCGCTGTCATCTGCATATCTCCTTGCAGAGGCTGTGTGTTTTTTTTTCACTAAAACCTTGTTGGTTGGTTGCCTGGACACAGACTCCCAGCATCTTGATCCATCCTATATTATGTTCTTCAGGTGCTCCTGCTGACGGGGGTTGCTGCTTCACGACTCATTGATTAGCATCCTATAAGAATTCCCCTCGTTCTCCATCACACACAAAAGGTTTTCTCCCCTGTGTGAATGATATGCTTTGCCAGGTTCATTTTTGAAAAGCATGGAGAAGATACACAGGTGCATAAACACACACACACACACACACACACACACACACACACACACACACACACACATATGAAGTGCAAACACAGACAATGTGCTGTAACATAAACAGAAACAGAAAACAAATTTGTTTTCAGGCAGCAGGGCATCATTTTAACAAAACAAAAGGCTAATTGCAGCTCATCGTTGGCCTGTGAGGAGGCTGAGAGCAAGCAAAGTGAATTTTCTGTTCTCCCTCTCCAGGATAAAGCATGAGAACATCGTGGCTCTGGAGGACATCTACGAGAGCTCAAACCACCTGTACCTCATAATGCAGCTGTAAGTACATCAACCCACCACTTTGTTTGTTTGGGTCAGCCCTTTGTCTCCCATTTGGCCTGTCATTTGGATAATGTGTTGCATTTTTTTGCTTGAATAAGCGTCTGTAATGTCCTAGAGGCATTTTTGCCCTCACCCGCGTGTCTGAGCGAATGCAGTGATGCTTTAAAAAGGAATGAGTCTTTGTCTACAGCAGTATTAAACATATAGATGTAACGCCACAGAGTTTATAATTGAACAATAAAAAATATAACTGTCATGTTGGACTAAGATTTGACATTTTGAAATATAAGCTTATTGGCTTTGTTGATGACAGGTCTTTGATGAGAAGATTGATACGGCTCTCATATCTGTACAGGAAATGTGAGGCAGGAGCTATGAGGCAGTTAGCGTAGCTTGACTTAGTGTTAAGACTGGAAACAGTGGGAAAAGCGAGGCCGGGTCTGTCTGAAGTAAAAAAAGAATCTGCCCACCTGCACCTCGAACCGCAGTGTAACAACGAGCTGTGGTTTGTTTCCCTCTGGTGTTATTATTACATTCGAGTCACATAGCGAAGCACATAACTGTACCTGGAGATCTTTGAAAAACCCAGACGATTGTTACACACTCACTGTGGTTCTAAAGACATTTCCAGACGCCTCAAAGACTCGTCTGAACATTCTGTCCACTGCTTGAAAAAATTATTTTAAGCTGTGACTGTGTTTACAATGCAGGAAGCCAGAAGTAACACAGGCTTTCTACTCTCTCATTTTGTATGACATTAGAAAAAAAAAATATTTGTAATAAAATGATAGAAGGTGACATCAATAAAGATGAATATTACTGATAATGAATTGTTTTAATTTGTGTTCATATTGAGGAGGCTCTTCATCACTGGTACATAGCCCTACATAAAATAACAACTTTTGTTTTTGTACAAATTAAACACAATACAACTTGTTAATTAGTGAACCAGGTTTAGAGGAGTTGGTGGATTTTGTTACCTATGGACAGAGCTAGGCTAGCTGTTTCCCCCTATTTCCAGTCTTTGTGCTAAGCTAAGCTAACTGTCTCCCAGCTCCGGCTTCATAGTTACTGTACAGACATGAGGGAAGTATTGATCATCTCATCTACTTCTAAGCCAGAAAGGACATAAGAATATTTCCTATAACTTTTCCTTTAAGATCTTAAAGCTTGAGCTTGAGCTTGTGTGGAGGCTGTCAAAACCTTAAGTTACTTCAAGTGTTATTTATGTAGCAACTATCTTGCTAAATGTATTTGTCAGTGTTGGTGAAGGTGGCAGCTGCTTCTCTCTGCCAGTACCGTTTTCCTCTGTCTGGTCGTCATCATGTCTGCAGCCCTTTTCCCCGACACATAATTTCACAGTGTTTGTGACTAATGCACCAGCAATTTAGGCAGCAAATATCTGCCCTTTGTTCACCTCTGAAAGGTGCGTCATGTGACCTTGAAGCATCACTTATGAAAATGGTGATTGCGAGCCATCTGTAAAAGCAGGCACATTCTCATAATTGATGCTCAACTTAATATGAGTCACCCGTTGTGTCTTTTCCCTTTTGTTACTGAAAGTAGTTCAGTAAAATGTGCAGTGTTTGTAACGGATGTAGCAGACGTTTTCCAATTAATGACAACTTACTCACTTGGTACAGAAATGCATGTGTGTGAAAATGTAACTTTAGAAGAGATTTGAAGAAAGTCCCTGTGGTAGATTTAAACAGGGAGGCTGTTTTAGAGCTTAGGGCACACTGACAGCAAAGAGAAAATCTGCTTAGGTCCAGATCAGAGGATGTCGATGCCAAGGCTGGGAGCAGGTACACATGAGTACAAAAGCTCACAGATGCATGTTGGAGAAATTTTCTGTTTAGAAAGGGAAAGAAAATGTAACATTGGGAGCTTTACGTAATTTCGGGGGGCGGTGGGTAACCAAAACGTTCCCTCACTGCTGACTTGAATGTGCCCGGGGGCTCTGTAATCAGAGTTATTATCCATCTTGAGCTAATTAAACTTGCCCAAGTTTTACCTCAGACGTGATCACTTGCTCACGATTGGACCAAATGGTCTCGTGACACACGCAGTTGGGAGACAATAAAATAGGTGTAGTGTGTAATATTTACAAAATATACAGCCTGCCCTAACTTTAAATAGAATAAGGATTTTGTGATTCACATGTGTTGTAGTGTTGAATGTGAAATGAAATGGGGGTGGGGGTCTTCCTGTGTCACAGCAGAGGTCGTGGATGTTTGTATTGCGTTTTCGATCTTGGTTTCAGAATTGTTACGCCTGGGTGTGAGGTGTTTCTGTTGGAAATGGAAAACACTTGAACAGTTTGTAGGCAGTGTCTTTACATGAAAACAATTATTTGTGTGTGCTCCAGTAAAAATTATAAAGATATGTGTGTGTGTGTGTATATTTTATTTTATCCTTTTTTTTTTCTTGCAGTTTGGTCAAGAATTTTTCAAATGATTTTTGCGGATGCCTGCCCTTTGGGAAGCACTTCAGTCACTGATTTTTATAAGTGCTACATAAATCAACTTTTTCATTATTGTTTTTAGACTTGTATTGTTTTCTGCGTGTGCTGACAGGGTGTCTGGAGGTGAGCTGTTTGACCGTATTGTTGAAAAGGGCTTCTACACAGAGATGGATGCCAGCCGGCTGATTCGGCAGGTTTTGGACGCGGTCAACTACCTGCACTCCATGGGGATAGTGCACCGAGACCTAAAGGTAAATCAGTATTAGATAGTCACAGTTCCTCACAGAATCCACTGTATTTGTTGTTGAAGAGTTAAAAATGTTTTTGCCACTCAACAAGGGAGAACTCTTCAGTCTTACTGAGAGGGGAAATCCCTGCTATTTAACCTGTGTGAGTGATATTACATGAGCTCTCTGTGTGGAGCACCCACAGAGGTTAAATGTCAGGGATTTTCCTTCTCAGTGAAAATGCTGAAGCCTCTTGGATGAGCCATAAAACACCCTTGACTCTTGAACGAGATCTTACTGTCTGCGGGAAATTAATGTGCATGGGAAAAATACACAAGCTCATATGGATAAGCAGAGACATACAAGCACAGGCACATAGATTGACTCTTTATTTTGTTTCCAGCCTGAGAACCTGCTGTACTTCAGTCCTCATGATGAGTCAAAGATCATGATCAGTGACTTTGGCCTGTCAAAGATGGAGGGAACAGGGGACGTGATGGCAACCGCCTGTGGGACTCCAGGATACGTGGGTGAGGATGCCCTCTGAGCTCTGGTGCAAACTTGCTCTGAGATAATTAGATGCTCTAGTTGGATAAACATGACCTAATCTAATCTGCCAGTAGCCACAGGTTAACTTTAGCCATCTGCTACAGGCAAACCACCAAACATTCACATTCTTCTCCAGCCTCAGTGTCGCAGCGAACAAAAAAAAAAATCGAAATTTGTTTGTATTATTTCACTACATGAATATTAGTTTGTCTGACCATTTAAACAAAATATTTCATTGTTCCAGCCCCTGAGGTTTTAGCTCAGAAACCCTACAGTAAAGCTGTGGACTGCTGGTCTATTGGAGTCATCGCATATATTCTGTGAGTACTGCCATTTTAAACATAAATATAATCATTAACTGCATCTTATTTTGTGTATGTAATGCCAGCCATCCGATCGCAGCATGCACCTCGAAGACAACCTGAAAGTCTAAAACTATCAAACAATGAGCTGAAAACAACACATCCAGATTGTGATGTACCTCATTCAATGCTGAGCCATAGCTGGTTCAAGACTGTAGCGTGAGGGATGCCTACAGCTGCTGTTCCTATTTTACAGAGCCTATCCAGCTTTTAGTGGAAAGTGTTACACAAAGCCGTTAAACTAATTAAGTAAAGTGGTGTCGCTCATTAGCAAAGAGAAAATCCTTGGTCTCATTATCCATTCTTTAGGAGGAATGAATTTTAAGGTAACCAAGTGGATACCTTCACAAATGAGACTTCTGTGTGTTCGTTATGGGATGATTTATACTGTTTCATAATCTGAAGCTAAAATATACAGCACGGATTTATGTTACATATCTACTATTTCCATGTCATTTTTTCCATATCATATAAAAATGGACTGTTTTTGTTCCATATTTTTCCCTCTTAGTCTTCATGTAGTCTCTTTAATCCCCTCTGAACCGTCTCCTGTTGCATGCTATATGAAAAATCAAACTGCCAGTGAATGAGATTAGGCTGCAGCAAATCCTGTTTAGATTTGGGTTAAAGTTCCTAACATCCGATGGGTGACGGCACTCACACGGACTGCTGTTGTGTAATCATCCATCTTCATCTTTTCAGGCTTTGCGGCTACCCTCCTTTCTATGACGAGAACGACTCAAAGCTCTTTGAGCAGATTCTCAAGGCGGACTATGAGTTTGATGCGCCGTACTGGGATGACATATCGGACTCCGGTGAGCGACGACACACTGTATGTGTCTGTGTTAGTGATGAATTGAAATAAATTATGTCACTTCTGTTTTGCAGATCCTGTAGTTCCCTTATCATGTCATGACAACAAATTTAATTCTGGGGCCCAAAACTGACTAAAAGCAGTGAAAGGAAAAATTAAGTCTAATTTAAAAAATATAAATAAATACATGACTATATATTAATATTCAAAATAAAATTATATACCTCCAGTCAGTTCTTCTATTTCTCAGCTATTTATTTTTTCATCTTGTTTGTTTTTTTTTGGTGATCATGGCACACATTTCAGTAATTCATCTAATTTCAAGTTCTTTCAATGCAACATTTCCACTTTCCTAAGAATGATAGGATTTTGAGACGCTCATGTATTTGTTGGGCAGAGACTCAGCTGATGTCAGTGTTGAGCACACACTCGTGTGAATGAGAGAACTAACTTGGCTAGCTTGCTCACATGAACACATCGGTAGCTAAACACACGGAGCACCAGCCTTTTCAGTTCTCTGCCTGCCTTCATAAAACTACATCAGTCAGCGCAGGTGATGATACTCACACCCATACACCACATGCTGCTGTGACATCACCGTATAAACTTCTGTTTGTTTTTGTGTCTTAAGCCTTTTAAACTGCTCGACTACACTGGATTTTAATTACTTAACTCTTTTATTTTTGCATTATTTTGTGATGTACTCATTTCTAGCTTTGTCACAGAGGATAACCTTCTATTGTCTTTCGTCAGCTTTCAGGCTCCATAGTAGGCAACAAAAATTTAATAGAGCAATAAAGAGAAGGACAGCGTTAAAGACTTTTGATTAATAATTCCACATAATTGCTTGTCAAGTGTAGTCCAATATCAAATCACAAATGAGCTTCAAGTGGCTTTACAATCTGTACAATATACAAAAAACCCCAGACAGAGGAACCTCTCCGTCATTCAGCAGAGTGAGGAACATGTTCTCTCTTGGATGTGCTCTTGACCTTTTTTAATTGCCTTCATAGCCAAAGACTTCATCAGCTGCCTAATGGAGAAGGACCCAGAGAAGAGATTCACATGTGACCAGGCTCTTCAGCACCCCTGGTGAGAAACTAACCGCCACGCTGCGCCCCAACCAGACAATCACAGGGAACCACACAGCTCGGTGCGATTAAACAGCAGTATGACGCAGATTGCCAGGCTTACGCATTTGTCATAGAGAGCATGTCCTCCCACTGTCATCTGTCGCCATGGCTCCAAGCCGCGAACCCACCTCTGCCTCGGCACCGCCAGCCCTCGGAGAGAAATCTGCTGAATAAATGGCTTCCAATTAGTGGCTGGCGTCCTGAAGGATCCTTGAAGAATGTGGAAGCTTTAATGAACAATTAGGATGTCTTCCCAGGCCTTAGCCGGCGCTAACGAGAGCGAGCCGGCGTGGGCTGCTGTCTCCGGCTGAAGTGGCCAATATGAATAAGTCTGTTAGCCAGTAATGGGCCTTTCGGGTCCTGGGCAGGTGGTCCTCCTGATACAAATATGTGGTTTGTGACACCGGTAACAGGTGTCATAACAGAGAGAAATGGCTTTCATTGACAAGGTTTCATACAGAGATATTATGATGAATGTGACAGAGCGTGATACAGTGTGTGTGCTTCTGCAAAAATCATTGCTCCATCAATCACAGATGTTTAAGCAGAATGAAAATAAATGATGGGATCAGCATGAGGATGGTTTTCCAACATATTACAGATACAAATATAAATCACTTGTGCCTTGGTGTGTCTGTAGGTGTGAACTGTATTTTACATGAAATAAAAGAACTTGACTTTCATTTTCAGGATTGCTGGAGACACAGCTCTCTGCAAGAACATACATGAGTCAGTCAGTCGACAGATGCGCAAAAACTTTGCCAAAAGCAAATGGAGGGTGAGTACAAGACAAGAGATATTTTACTTTAAAAACAACCAACTTCCTAGTTAAAAAAAAAAAAAAAAAAAAAAAAAGGACACAACACACACAATATTCTCTATCTTTTTGAAATGCAAAAGCATGCTTGTCTTTCCCCAGGAACCTGTCCCTGGTATTACACTTGTCTGTTTACACCCTCTCTTCACAGCAAGCCTTTAATGCGACGGCTGTCATCCGACACATGAGGCGCCTGCAACTGGGCACCAGCTTTGGCAGCAGCGTCCACGGCAACAACTCCGTGTCCAACCCTCAGAGCCGAGCTCCAGCCAAGAGCCAGTCTGTGGACTGCGCCCCGCTCTCCCTGAAGGACTGTGAGTGACACTTCAGACGCTCTCTGTAGACATGGACATGTCCATCTTTTAGTTCTGCACTCCGATGAGCTCTGTTCACTCCCATGCCCCCCTCCATCGCGCTAATTGGCAACAGTTTAAAAAGCTCTTGAGGTGTCATTTTCAATTAAACAGACTTAACTGGGTTTGACGTGAGACATGTGGCCACAGTGTGTCTGTGGTGTTTAGTTCAACATAAGATTTTTGAGCTCTATTACAACACCACACCTCTGAAAAAGCTTATTTCATACTCATTTTATCACTGTTACAGTGGTGAAATGATTAGTTGAGTAATTGATTAGTTGATTGGCAGAGCTTTTATCAACATCTGCTGGTTCCAGCTTTTCAAATGTGAAAATTTTCTGCCTTTCTTTGTTTAGTGATAAATTGAGTAGATTTTGGTTCTGGACAAAACAAGCATTTTAGAAGATGTCACCTTGGACTGTAGGAAGTTTCACCATTTTCTCACTTTTTATAGACTTACTGGTTTATAGATTAGTAATTAATTATTAGTTTATTAAGCATGAAACTATTCTATATAGGGCCAAACAATAATTAATGTAATATTAATATAATTAATTTCAACCTTAGTGCATACATTAGTATATCACAAAACTTAATAGTGACAGTGTGCAATATGCCGTGATTGACAATTTGCATGTCTTAGAAAATAATGTTAACTCAAGGTCAACTTACTGGCTTTTCCCTGAGCTTTCAGACACACCTACTTACTTTTGTCAAGGTGGGTGTTTGTGTAAACTTTGCTGAAAACTACAGTGCCCAGCTGTTTTCAGGAATTACTTCAGGAATAGCCCTGGAAATATAATATATAAAAATATATTTTAAGATTTGCATCTTCATTAGGAACCAATGGGCTCAGAGCTGAGCTGCAGACAGACCAGTGAAGTAAGAACCCTTATGAGATGGACTAACACATTGTTGGTTTTGGTCTTTTCATAGGATTTATTGAAAATGATAATAATGATCTACTTTTAAACAGAAATTAGTTAACGATAACCAGTTCCTTATATTTCTTATATTTGTTCCGCAGGTTCTCCAATAGCTCCATTGCCATCTGCTGTTAAAGTGTACAGTCAGGACTCTGATGCTCCCTCTACCGTGCGTGAGGAACCGTCGGTCGTGGCCGAATCATCGCGGCCCCGACCCTCCACCGTTACCGTCATCCACACTGGGACTAAATGACGCCAGGTTCCGCGGGAGGTGAGCTGGGAGACCACGGAGCTTTGAGACGGGATGAAACCATCCCCAGGCCTCGTGATTCAACGTTGTTCCCCAGTTTACCCATCCCGCAACCTCCCATCTGTTTCTGCCAACCACGGGAGGAATTTAAGGAGCATTGGCTCAGCTCCATTTACCATGGCCCAGCACGGCACCCCGCTGCTTCCCTTCCCACTGTCATACGGACCTGGAAGTACAGAGGGGGAGAAGCTCAACCAGAAGTTGTTATTGTGGAAGCCATGTTCAGGCTGGATCATGGTTGTCTGGCAGACAAACAAGCAGCTGGTCTGGGAAGTGCCACACTAAAGGGAATTCATTATTGAAGCTGCTGTCGTTTTTGACTGTGAGCGTCTTGAGACAGGATGCTCCTCTGTATGCCTTGTGTAAATATCCTGTCTGGAACTGTTGAGTGGACTCCTGTTATGCAAGTGAAATATAAGCTTCAAGCTGTGGTAAATAATTGTGACATCATCTGCACTCTGAACTTCTCGTTGTTAATTTTCTGTGGTATTTGCTACAATGGCTCACAGAGTCATGACTCCCAACAGTATGACAGTATGTGTAATCTCTCTGCTTTAAAGTGTGTGGACATGAAACGTGAGCAGGATAATGTGCTTTGGTTGTGGAGTGTGATTGCTGAGAGGGCCGGTGCATTGCACTAATGTAATGGATTATTTATTTTCTTACAATATATTATGACTTTTGTAAGTAATCCACTTGCAGAAATGTGTTATTAAACTGGACTGAAAGGTTATTGCATTGAATGATAAAGGCACAGTATCTAATAGTTGTTACTTTGTAATTGCTGTTTTATTTGATTAATTAATTTTAACATGACTGTGAAGTCCTCCTTGACCACAGGAGGGCAATCACGTGTTGTCGCTTTGTGACCAGTTCTCAGGGATGTGCTCCAACATGAAGCTATCCAAACCCCCCACCCCCCACCCCACACCTCCAGAGTGGTCAGACACTGCTGCTGGTGAAAAACCTCCAAATACTGCATATTATTCTAATGTGCCATTGGGAGAGTTTGACCGTTTTCTTTCCTTAAGTCCATCATTATTGACATGTGAGCATTATGTAACTCATACTAGACGGATTGTTTTCCCATTAAAAGACCTTGAATAATAGATTTGGATTTAAAGAAAATGTTTATCAGTGAAGTGCACATTCATGTCTTCGGTAAAAATGTAACATGACAAATGAATGAAAATGTATCTTAACAAGGATTGCTCCCATTGCAGAATCGTCAGATCGGTAGTGTACAGTTCAGTAGTTGAAATATCGTGCTCTGCTTCCGCTCATGAAGTGGCTGGTCTGAAAACAGCTCACTCTCTCTATGTTTAATCACTGTGCTTTCATACCAGCCTGTTGAATTTAGCAGAAAGACTCTTTCTCCTTCTCTCTCCTTCACACGGAGAAGAGAGAGGATCTGTCTTTGTATCTTCTCTGTGGTACCTCTATTTAATTTTAAGTCACTCAAGAGAACACTTCACCAGAACAAGCCCAATATCACGGACTTTGCCATTGTGAATTATATGAACATGTTGTGGTGAATATCGACATATGGACTTTGAGCCTCTATTTACTGTAAATACAGATCTCAACAACACAGTTTGCTTGGGTCTTGAGTGTTTATTTTTGTCTTCCCTATATCGCTCCCGCTCCCACCCCCACTCCAAAAAAAAAGAAGGAAAAAAAACATGAAAAAGTTAAATACGAAGCATTTAAAACCCGTCAGTATGCATGTATTACATATTGTTGCAGAACTGTTCTTTGGAGTTGTAGAGATTCATGTATTAAAAAAAAGAGGCTTGTTTGCACGTGTTGTTGCTTCTTTGACAGGAAGTAATTATCAAGTTAGTGTGTATGCACACGTTTCTTACGTCAGAAAGTGTTATTTAATATAGATTTTAATATGATTCAGTTAATATATTTAATTAATGTTATTGCAAGCGAGTAAATGTATAGTAAACATGAGTAAATACAGTATATTCATACTTATTCTGAGTGTGAATACCAGGTGCTGTAAAATGATGCATCTATTTAACCCAGGATACCTCTAACCGCTGAAACCCCAAACTTCACTCTGTTATCTGCTTGATACTTAATGGCTTTTTCTAATTGTATGAGAAAGTTTATAAACATGATTTTGAACTGGTGACATTAGTTTTAGAAGTCTGCTGATATTTGGGGGTTTCACAGACCTCAGCTGTAAAACATGCTTCAGTACTACGGATTTCTATATGGCTTAATATATGTGGTTGATGTTTACAGAACTTTTTAAGCAGCACTTCCCAAATAAGTCTATTGGGTTTTCTGATAGCAGAGTTTTATAACAGTTTGTTATAAAGAGGACATTAATGGGCTTTAATTATCCTAAACTTCAGTAATGCAACTATTCGTGATAACATAACGTACATTTATTTGTCTGTTAATGACTTTTTAAGTTATTTATAGCAAAAATCAAACTTCTCAGATTGACTCTGCTGGTTTTCTCAGTCCACGAAACAGCGATAGTTAATTGACTAGATTTGCTTTTGAGCTGTTTGTTGAACCAAGCGGGTCGAATGAATTCACCTTGTGTTTTGGGAAATTGTGATTGTGGTATTTTCCTGACATTTCATAGAGCAAATGAAATTGATTAATCGTGAAAAAACAAACAAACAAAAACAGTAGATTCATCAATAATGAAAATAATTGTTAGTTGCAGCCCTAAACAAAAGGAATAACTTTTAGTTCATGCATCACCAAAACCTATAAAACATCAAATATTTACTTATTTGGTTTAATAATATGCCTTAGGGTTATTTTCCTCTTTTGTCAACTTCTTGAAATATTCAAACACAGTTTGTAGCAAAGCCAATTGTTACCGCTTCAATACTTTTCTACATATTTAGACTTTTAGAAGAATAGACAAAAAATCTGATGAAAAAAAAAGAAAAACTTTGCTATCGTTACCATTATTATTATTATTACTTTATCACATACAGCAGCAGGATCTGTGGGAGCTTAAACACTGAGGACGTAAAGCCAATCAACAACACAAGGATTAAAAACAAGTGAAAAGATTTGATTCTGTTGTGATGTCTCTGCCGTGTAACTGTCACGGTCTGTGGTGAAGAGCATCACTGTGTAGCTTCTTTTAAATCTCGGTATCCTGTCAGCTCACAGCTTCACACCTCTCCTCTCTTACTGGCCCCCAGACTCAGATGGAGTGACGGTTGTACTCGTGGGGAGGATGCATCCCGTCGTAGTGAAACTCCCTCCACTGCTCGGTGCTCTCTCTGGTCCTCTCATTTTGTTCTGGAAGATTAAAAGTATTTTAGCGGATGAATGAGCTTGTCCCTCTCAGCTGCATCAGAGATGAGTTCACATACCATCATGCTCCTCTTCAGCGTAGCTCTCAAACTCGTTCCTTTTCTCCTCGTGAAACTCTCTTTTCCGTTCATCTGCAGCCAAAACCAGCCTCTGCTCAGCTGCAAGCACAGAGGAGGAGGAGGATGACACCACTGAGTGTAAGGAAGGAGTTGTGAAGACACCAGAAGTGCTGAACTAAGTAACTGGCTTTGAACTACTTTAAAATTTACAGAAACATCAGAGAATTCAATAAAAATTTAAAAAATTGACTTTTTAAAGGGACAATGCACCTAAAAGGACTCCATAGGAACCAAATAGTTGATACCCAAACAGCAGATACATTGATCACATACCAATTGCTGAATTATTTAATATCTGCTTCCCTGAGACTCACAACAATGTAGCATTTAGAAAAAGTATAATGTTTGGAGCCCAGATTGGCTCTTAGAGATAGAAGATATTGAAAAGACAATGAATGAGTGAAGTCAAAGAATCTGAACTGTAATAATAACATTTATTGCTTAGAAATATTTAATATGGCATGATGAACAGCTGTGGTGGAAGATGTATTCAGGTCCTTTACTTGAATAAAAGTACTAATACAATAATATAGAATATTCCATTATAATAAAAGCATTCAAACTGCATTCAAACTCCTTAGATACAATTACATATGCAAATGTACTTTAAGTATCAAAAGTGCTTACTCTGTAGAAACATTGGCCCTGTGACTGTTATATGTGACGTTATTAGATTGTTAATGCATCATTGTGTAAGCAGCATTTTACTTTTGTGTAAGAGGACACAAGGCAGAATCACCTGATTGATCTTTAACAAAGTGAAATTTTAATCTGAACAGAAACTAGTAACTACAATTATAAATACATTTATTTGTTTGACAAAAAGTACAACATTTCCCACTAAACTGTAATGGACTAGAAGTGTAAAGTAACAGAAAGTGGACATACTCAAGTAAAGCACAAGTAAATCTACTTAATTACTTTCCATCACTGGAGAACAGACCAGAAATAAACCTCAGCAACAAAAAAAGACCCACAATTTCAGTTCAGAGCTCATCTACGAGTAAAGACACGCAGACTCAACACAGTGACTGCTGAACATCACAAAACTACAGGCTGAAAAAATATCGCAGACCTGAATCACAGAGTCTGAACAAACAATGCTTTCTATGAACTTTGTTAAGCTGGTATTTGCTGTAAAGCTGTGATTCATAGAAGCTGATTGTATCCAAGGCTGGAACACAGAGACAAAAAACCTGTTGGAGAGAAGTTAGTGACTCATCTCTCACACTTCTTCTTGAAAGAAGAAGAAGAAAGATACATGTGGGTAGACAGTGACATTTTTCTTAATACAGACCACTGAAGTCAATGGCTGGGTCACTTGTTCCTCTTGTTCATACTGACTGTGAAGAGATCCCTTCCTACAACAGTTATAATGTAAGTGATGGGGGACAAAATGCACAGTCTTCGCTCCAACCACTAGTGAATTTCAACAGCAGCTGATATGAGACTTCAGCAGTCTGAATGACACCAATCAAGCGTGTATTTCCCAACATTACAATCTCTGTAGTCGGGATGGGTTAAATTAAATTGGCTTAAATTTAGAATTTAGACTAAAGTTAAGTCGACTAATACAGACTCAGCGAGGTGAGGCCAAAGACAGCCTCCATGTGTCCTCTCCGACAGGTGAAGAAGACCAGAGCACACAAAAGCAGTCGTCTGTTGTGTGTGGGCAAGTCAGTGTCAGTGAAACTCAAATACTGATTGCAGTAACATTAGGAAGAGCCATTAGTTGAGATAGGAAAGGTTTGGGATAGTCATGCTAACCTTTCCAAAATCAGGTCATGACCTTTGACCTTTTACCAGGACTCCCTACACAAGTCTGTGCGTGCCGTGTGACCTGGAGCTCAGGTTGGGAATTCCAGCCACTTGGTTGTAAATTGTAAGTTTTAATGTTTGTAAGATGTACAGACGCACTGCAGACTTGCAGATGAAATCATATTTAATGGAACGGGTTTTGACGGCAACAATTTACCATATTTGGTTTGTCATCTCTCTCGGACAGCTGACCGGCTTCAAGTCAAACAGGAGCATTTGTTTGGAGTCTACATGTTGGATGCCAAAACTTCAAAAACCTCGAAATCATACCTCACACCTTATCCACTTATACTGCTAATACATTTATCAAATATTTTCCTTTGCAAATTTCACCTACCTACCTGTTAGAGAAATGTTGTGCTTTTATGTAATTATGCAGCAGGAGAGGCTCTTCAAAGTGAGCCCAATTTATTAGTCCCACTTTTTTACTTGGTTTCTCTCTGACCCTGTTCTGCCTGCGTGTCGGCACATTCCACATTCAGCTCCCAACCGCTCACCCACTCACTCGTCCATCTCAGTCCTTTCACTGTGTTCTATGCTTTGTGTTCATTTTATTCCTCCGTTCACAGACAAAGTGTCTTGTTGTTGTTACATGCACACAGCCCCACAGCATGTTACACAACTCCAGTTCAGAGCTGCAGTATCTCTGTGTGTGCTCTCACCTCCCTGTTGGCAGAACTGCTGTTAAATCACCCAGGAATGTCAAACACTGTACTGTATGTGAATTTTCATGAAACGTTTGAGGGGGATATTGACAGATCGACACCGATGTGAGTGAGCTCCGTGCAGCCCTGTGACTCCTGCTGCAGCCTCCAGCAGAGGAAGCAGAGCTGCTGTGTGACGAGACAGGTCTGAGGTTGTCTCTGGTCAGATCAGGTCCAGAGAGCAGTTAACAGCTGCTGGCTGCCACAGTCATAAAAACATTCAGACTGCAATAAACATGTTTTTCTTCCTGTTCATTCAGACAGCGAAATATCTGCATTTAAAAAGTAATTTCATCTATTACTGAGCCCCAAGTTTCAGTTTCTTAAAACCAGAGGAATAAATCTCTGGGGTTATATAATACAGTGCCACATGTTTAAAGTACAGTACCATTTCTCTTCATGCCTGGGAAGAGGAATTATCTCTTGTTCTACTCAGGATTCAGCTGCTTAGAAAACTTTGACTTCAAGGAAACAATATGTAAAGTCATGACAAGAAACGTGAAGATTTCTTTCAGCACTTTGGCAGATTTTTTTCTTGTATTAAGTGGTAAAACTTGTGACAAACTTCTTGCACACTATAAAGTTTTGTACACAGGTGTCTAGCATCAAAAACTCTTGACTGTGAAGAATCCAAGTCAGTTTTTCAATCATAATAAATCACTACTAATAAAATGAGTACGGGTAATTAACACTATACAGGATTCTTTGGTTTCTCCTTTTCTTCAAAATGACTGATTCAGTAGAACAAATGGTTTTCTAGTGAATCATCATTGATCCCATTACCAAGATGGATGTTGACATTCATTCAAATCAGTGTGAGAGTAGATCTGAACTCACCATTAATCTCATCCTGAGATTTCACGCCCCGTCTGCTGCGTCTTCTGAAGAAGTTTGAGGCATCGGCCTCCTTCATGAAAATCCTCTTCAGTGGACCTGCAGTGAAAGCAGGAGGAGGTTCAGCTCACAACATAAAGGGATAAAGAGAGAGGATGTACAGCACAAGAGGTGCAGCTGATGCAGCTCCTCACCCTGTGGCTCTTTAGCGCTGCCTGTGTTGCTGGGCACAGCTGCAGAGTCGGCCTCCGGAGACACTGGGCCAGAGAACAAAACATGAAAAACACAGAATCTAAGCTCTCGTGCTTGACTCTCCATGTAAAACAAATACAACAAACAGCCTATCATTATCCTGCCTAAACAAGATACTCCTGATACACAAATCCACATGCAAGTGAGATGCAAAAAACAAAAACCCAAATCCAACATTCTTCTGCATCAACTCACGGGAGAGTGCAAGGAGCACAGTGAGGAGAGGCAGGAGGGTTGCATACGTCCAGGACATCTTTAGCTCTGTGTCTGAATTGTTGGGATACAAGCAGTGAACGAGACCAGGAGGGAGAGAGGTGAGTAAGATGTATGTGAGAGGTGGGGTGGGAGGCCCGAGGAATATTGACTGCCTGTCAGAGGAGGGAGGGAGTGACCATGCAGATCTGATAAGAGCCAACAAACAGCAGAGAGGGGACAGGAAGGTGCTGAGGATTCAGTTTTGACCATAAACTTATTTCTTTCAGTCACTGTCCTGCAATTAAAATAAGCTGAGGTGACACCGTGCTGTATATGGACTTAACATTTACTTTTTGGGCCTGCTTCTTTAGTCATACCATAGAGGGGAAAACTTAGAAATGACACTACAGGCTGAATATGCAACACTTGTCTGGTTAATACCCAAAGTTACTAGAGAAAAGATGGATGACAGACAACAAAAACACTGCTCCAGAACTGGAGCAGTGTTTTCTTGCCAAAAGTCTCCTTTGCAGATGCGGTTGAAATGGGCACCTCAACAAGGCCGCTCTCTCTGGTTCTGCGAAAGTATGCAGCTGCCTGTTTGCTTGAGTTTTTTCCCACCTGAATTCTGGCTGTGCCCCAGTTGCTCAAATTGTTTTGTGGGGCGATCCAAGGTGGAGGGATTGATGCTCGGGGAAGTTGGAGGGAGGGTTTGAGAATATGTGAAGTGAGAATGTTTTGCTCAAGTAAGTGAGGAAAACATGTAGGGGGAGGAATTCACTCTAATTTGCACCAAATGAATATCATATTTGAACTGAACTAGGACAGTGAATTGAAAGGAGTTTGAGAGATTTTAACAGTGAGTCAGAAGGTTATCTCAAAGTCTTTCAGATTTGAATGAACTTTGGTGTTGTGTTTGATCAGCGTCCCAGGAGGGGATTAGTTTTTGGCATGGACCTGGAACCAGAACTTGAAAAAATGATTTCCATATTGATTTATATTAGTGCCCAGTGATACACTGTCAGTACTAGAAGTCAGTAGATGATATTACATGCTGAACAGTTCAGGATCGTCCTAGTGTTAACTCTGCAGAGAATATATTCAGGCATTGTTTTTCCATGTGATGAGCAAAGAGGAAAACTCTTTCAGATTCTGTCTTTTTGTGCAAGGACAGATGTATCCAATCACACTGTGTCACAGATGAGGGGCCACATTTGACTAACTGGCACAGAATCAAACTTGATCATCTCACATTCATGTTTAAAATCTGGGACCCCCTCTCAACTGACCTGGGATGCCTTTGTTTTGTTCTACCTGGTTTGGCATATATATATATATATATATATACACTGTTGCTCATAAAGTTGGAATAAAATATTTTTTTCCTTTTTCTATGAAATGATTGTGACAATGTGATTTATTTAATTTCACCTGGGTAATTGGGACACATAATGTAATCATTGCACCTGGTCAAAAGTGATTACTGATGCATTTAAAAAGGAATAAACAGAGGATTGTGTCTGAAAACAAAATTATTCCAACTTTATGGGCGACAGTGTATATATATATATATATATTTATGTTTGTTCCTACTAATGTTATGTGCTCCCATTACTGAGAACTGTAATGTTTCTTTTTGTTTTGTCACATGTGTATTATTAAAATGTTCAAAAATTAAATCAAAAACAGTTTGTTTTTATCTGCTATTTTGAATTTTTACGTTATCAGCCTTCTAAGTAAAGCGTGTTGACTGAATGAACAGTTTGACAGACTATTACTTGAATCCAACAACATTAGAGCCTCTCACATCTCATAGTGCAAGCTTCACATACAGTTACAGTTGAGAAAACACCTCATTACTGACCGCCATAGGGATGCAATGGATGTATTAAAAATGGACGGGTGGCCATTGAGGCTGCATATGCACTTTGTTTTCATTAATGACGCAGGTGTCTACTGAAATCCACTCAGATGGCACTGGATGAGGAAGTTCATTTTGGTGTGAAAACACCCTGGAGCCTATGTGGCTACATATTTATTGCCACATTTGTTATTCTCATGTCATGTTTTTTCATGTCTACAGACTCATGTTAGAAAAACTAATAACTTGGGCTGGGTGATTATCTTCATACTTTATCTAGTCTACAGTTTATTAGGTACACCTAGCTAACACTGATACACCTTCATGAAGGGTATAATGTTACAGAGATTGTTTTAGAAAGATATTGATTCAACTGTATGATCATTTTGCAGATTGTGCTGTTGAATTGCACTCTCATGTTGACAGGTGTTCCTATTATTTTGTTCACCTCATTCAAATTAATGAGACATTTACATTTTATAATTGTATCATACAAAGAAGGGTTTATTTCAGGACTGCTGTATTAGACTGTATCAGGTTTAGCAGGGTGTACCGGCTGGGTGTACCGGCTGGGTGTATTGGTGTGGAGCTGTAGGACTGCAGTAGGGGCCGCTGTGGAGCCGCACTGGCCGCCTCTGTGTCGTTTCTATCACCGACAGTTGGGTGGCGCTATTTCCCTGCTGACATTTAGATGACACGGCTGTGTGGTGGCAGGCAAGCAGAGGACACGCTCAGATCAACCAGTAATCACCATCGTCCCTCACACTGCCATGGTGTCTCCGACCTGAAAAAGAGAGACCAACTGCAGCGCTTCCTATTTTCTACCGGGAGTGAAACTTTAAAGCCTGAAAACGAGTCATGCTGCTGGACACCACAACCCCGCGGATATAAGCGACATTGAAGAGCAGAAAGTAGCTACCACCACCCCGAAACCACAAAGAAGAAGAGGGAGAAGAAGCGGTCGGTGCTAATTCTTCTTTCTTTTTTTTCACGCTCGGAGGGAAAGACGGCATCCGGCCTGAGAAGAAGCTCCGAGGTCGGGGACTCCGCGCGGAGCAACGCTCCTCGTTTCTGGTGAGAGCTCTCCACATTTTCGGTGTAGTTTGCGACGATTTACCGCAGAGAAACGGCGACTGAAGCGCCAGCGAGTGAGAGCAGCGCTGACTCAAGAAACATTTCCACCAACAACCTGCGCTGAAAACAAAACGAGCTCAGCCACAATGCAGCAATGTTTACTTCACAGACCTCCGTGTGTGAATGCTGCCGTTTGTCGTGTGAGCTCCTCACTTTGTCCCATTCACCGGCCACTGTTCAGACACACTGTGGGGGTTTAGCTACATGCAGCACACACGAAAGGTACAACAAGTTCACAGTGGTTAATAGTTCATCACTTCTTCTGCTCGCAGGAGTTTAAACATTTGTGTGTGCTTTGTTGTCAAATACCACTCGGAGCAACACAAGCAGTCAGTCTGCTGCTGGTTGGTTGGTTGTCACTAAACTATACGAGGCCGGGTTGTAAAGAGGGAGGGCTGGCTTGCTGCTCTGCATGTATCGTCTTGCATATTTGCTACCAAAACATTCACTGACCCACATTTCAGAGATGTCCTGTCTTACTGGTCTAAATATTGTTTCACCAGCTACATGAAGCACAAAGCGCGCAAACTGTACCAGACTGTGATCTCTCTCTCTCTCTCTCTCTCTCTCTCTCTCTCTCTCTCTGTCACACACACACACACACACGTACACGCACACATACAGTCAGCATTTACAGCTTTAAGCCTTTTCAGCTGTTGCAGGTACTTGGTGGGCAAGGCCAGGACAGGAGCCTGCATGGGAAACTGTGGGAGAGACTCCTGCAGCTTCTAGGAATGTCAGCTTTCAATGAATTCCTGTACTTGTTCTTATGGGAAGTTAACCTGTGTGTGTGTGTGTGTGTGTGTGTGTGTGTGTGTGTGTGTGTGTGTGTGTGTGTGTGTGAAGAGTGTGAGTGTGAGTGTGAGTGTGTGTGTGTGTGTGTGTGTGTGAAGAGTGTGAAGTTAGCAGGATGTCCAAAAAGGAAGACATTGTTCTGGAAGGGGGGGATTCTCATGGCAAACTGATGAGGAAGTTCATTTTGGTGTGAGAACACCCTGGAGCCTGTGTGGTTACATATTTATTGCCACATTTGTTGTTCTCATGCCATGCAATGTTTTGTTTTGTTTTTTTTCATGTTAGACAAACTAATAACTTGGGCTGGGTGATTATCTTCAGACATTATCTACAGTTTATTAGGCACACCTAGCTAACACTTGTGTAATTTAATGAAACAGTCTTGTAATGACTCCTACTTTCACGAAGGTTATGATAGCCAGTTTATGTTTATATTCTTTCAGAGAGGTGTTGGTTTAATTTATCTGTCATTTTAGAGGCTGTAATTTACAGTTGGCTTTTATTGTGTTTTACTGAGAGATGTTTCCTGTATTATCAAGAGCACCACAAACTTCTACCTAAGTTTCTGCAGCATAAGATAAGCCAGGGCTTTTTTTTTTTTGGTAGGAGTGCTGATATGATACTTGAGTTTCAGTACTGTTACCAAAACAATACTTTTTTAAAACCTTATTTCTTATGTAAATCAGTCTTTTTCCAAAGAGTCGTTTTTACATTTAGCAAAGGAAACCGAACTTCTCAAATGTTCTAAATGTTGCGTAGCAGCTGTACAGGACCTGTGCTTAAAAAATTAAGTCAGAAATATGATTAAAATCAGACACCATCTGATTGAAAAAGTAATGGAGCAAACACTCAGAGCCTTTGACAGGTTTTGAATCTGTGAAGCAGCTACATTGTGGTCAGTTCCTAAAAAAAGTACTGAGGTTGGATTCACAGTCCTGCTTGTCACTGGTTACAGTTCATATTGTTTTTCTGATGGCTGAATGAAAGAGCTGTCATAGCACTTTCTCCCTCTCATTTCCTGTGAGCTGCTTTCAGTTTGACAGCCACAAGCTGTTGAGCTTTCCTTGCAAGATGTCTGTCATTCAGAAGCTTCAGGAGGTGTGTTGGTTTTGGGCTCAAAACACCTCGTGATGAACCTGGTACCTTCAGGAGGGCAGGGAGCTGTTTGGGGGGCAGTGTGCCCGTGTGTGTTGGTTTGACGTGGGGTCGTTCCCTTGGTGAAGGCCTTGGGGATGGTGGTAGCAGGGTAACCTGACCCGCTGTGAAACAGCTGTAGCTACGCGGTGCTGATCCCTCGAGTCCCAGTGCAGATCAGATGATGGTCCAGTATGTTTACGGGTGTGTGCGAGCGTACACATGAATGGGTGTGTTCTTCCTAAAGCATCATACTCTACCTTTCCACATGCAATGACACACAGAACAGTTTTAAACCAAACTTCATAGACTTTTTTGGCGAAGTTTGGCTTTAAATTCCATGTCCCTGTCTTTTGCTAATACAAGTGTGGGCTCTCTGTGTGTATGTGTATGTGTGAGCTCATGTTTAAGCGGCAGGCCAAGACAGCTGGCTGAAGGTTAATGTGTCACCACTCTCTGGGGAGCAGCTGCTATGTCACAGGCACCACTCCTGTCTATAGATAGCCATGAATACAAACTCTTCCTCTTTTCTCTGCTGCATTAACACAAGAATTTTGGCACTGGCATGCAGCTCAGTCCTCTCACATGCAGTTGCCCCACGAGAAAAAAATGCTGCTGCCTGCAAGTTTGTCCGCTGTCACTCCCTGACTCTCTATCTGCGTCTGAATCTGGAAGTGTCTGCTGGTACCAAAGACCCCCCACCCACCCTCCTGCCTTGAGCCAGCTGGCTGAGAACCTGTTTGATTGAGTTATACAGTAATAACTAACGCCACATATCTGGGTCGTCATCTGCGGTATTAATGTCCGAAACAGGTGAGGGACAAATATTGCCTTTTTTCCCGTCACTCTTGGCAGGATTTGCAGGAGCTGTCTGAACACTTGTCTGGTCTTTATTTGGAAGGAGACACACTCACATCGTTATCCACACCAACGTTATTACAGCCAGAGTAGCTTCGCATATTTGAGATGCGTTGAAGTGTTTGTAATTAAGTTTTCACTGGTTTAATAAAAAGCATGTTAAATCCCTGTGTTTGGGTTTTTAATTAGCGGAATTTAGAAACTCCCAGGCCCACTCAACCTCAGCTCAGTAGGTTTTTCTAATCAGTGACTGTAGACCGCTGTTCAACAGCTAAGGATGAATGTCAGGTTCCTGCTTAATCAATTTTCCATTTTAATTTAAAGCTTAGTGAGTCTCTCACCACTCACTTGTTGGAAAGAACAAAGGGCATGATGGGAAGTTTTCCCACAATGCTTTCCTTTTCTTCAGATGCACACATCTGTAATGGAGAAATGCAGACAAGAACTGAAATCAATAGTTGATTAGTCAACAGAAAATAATTGAATAAGGATTGTGTCGTTTATCAAGCAAAACATGCTTCCAACTTCTCAAATGTCACAGTTAGCTGTTTTCATATCTTCGTGAATTTAGTTCTGTTGGATTTTGGTTGAACAACAGCAATTTGAAGACATCACTTTGGACTCTGGGAAATTACAATGGGATTAGGTCTGCAACTATCAGATATTTTCATTATTGATTAATCTACCACCTGACAACTCTTTTCTGAGACAGAGAGAGTAAAATCCTTACAACGGAGAAGGTGACACTAGGTAATGTTTGAAACTTTGCTTGAAATGTTACTTAAAGTGTGGCGCCTCAGTGGGGCACCTGGTAGAGTAAGTACCACATATAGTCTCAGTCCTAATCGCAGCGGCCATGGGTTCGAGTCCGACCCACGGCCCTTTGCTGCATGTCATCCCCATGTCAAGAAAAGAAATATTACTTAAACTAATTGATGATCAGATGATTCATTAGAGATTGATCAGTTGAGTGATTAATCAACTTAATATTTGGGCTCCACAGGGATTTCTCAGCAACATTTTACAAGTTAAGTAGTTAATTGAAAACTGTAATCATTACTTGAATGCAGCCTCAACACTGGCAGAAAGAAATCAGTTTCACTGAAGTGCTGCAGCATACAACTGTGCCTGGCATACAGGCTGTCTGAAATTACTACAAAGGCTCCTGAAAGCCGCTTGTGTTTGCAGTTTGATATGGAAACTGATATTCTGATAACCCCATCCTGCCGTCTGCCCTCTGTTAGATAGCAGTCTGGCCTGTTGTTCCCTTTTAACAGCCATGAAAGGCTATCAGGATCTGCTGGGGCTGCTGGTGCGAGGATGAGCGCCGCAGACGGGCAGGGAGGGAAGGCTAATTGTCGCTCTCTCAGATGCTAATGCTCTGCTCACAAATGCACACCGGGTGACTTGACTCAGGCGCAGATCAGACGAGTCCACGCCTGGGCGATTATCTCCATAATGAGCCAAAGAGGAGTCTGTTGTAATCATGCTGCCTTTTATCTAGAATAAATGAAGGTCATCAACATATAAATATAATAATAAGAATAAAAGTAATAATATTAATGATAAAAAGAAGATTAAGAAGGCTTATCTGTCACAGTTCATGCTGGCCTTTCATCTGTGTTACATGTAAGTGGTGCTTCATTTGGTGTGTTTCATTTCAAAGTCATTGTTTATCTATTCAAGACATTTCTGTAGGGAAATTAGTTTTTTTTTTTTTTTTTTTTAATGAATAATAATTCCATATAATTCTGGATGTACTTATAAACTTACATACTATATACTTGTATTTAAATCTCAGAGGTTGCCCACATTGTGAATATGGTAACCCACAACTTTGATTATCAGTAGTAAAAGTGTAGCCGAGGTGATGAGCCACTCAGATCCTGATGCTTCTCATTCCGTGATGAGTTTAGTTAGTGGATGACAAGCTAAACAAAAGCCACGCTCATTAGATATCTGGCATTCGATGTGTGCAATAGTGCGTCACATGTTTTCCCCTCAAGGTGAATCTTGCATCTCATAAAAATGTCCTCATTTTTTCTGATGCTGGCAGAGGTGATCTTTGTTTCTGACTGTGTGACCTACACTACACAGTAAAACACTGTGGGAAACCCTCAACAGTTTGTAAAGGTTAAACAAGTGATCAGAAG